TAAGACAAGCCGCAGACTATATGTCTTAAGCGAATTTAGTCTTAATTTAAACGAAGTATTAAGAAGTTAGCAATCTTTAAAGCTGAGCTACAAACCCAAACAAAATGTTCGATGGTTCAGTGCCTCGCCTTTAGATTTGGTTCCTGAACCTAGCTTATAATATACAAGAGTCACACTAGCTTAAGTATGATCGGATTTTTAAAGCTAGGCTAAAAACCCAAACAAATTGTTTGGTTGTTCGGTTCATAGCTTGAACCAATCCCTCGCCTTCAGGTTTGGTTCGCGAACCTGGTTTTCAATATCTAAGAGCCCAAGATATTAACTATCTTAATCTACTATTATCGTATTTTTAAAGCTAGGCTGCAAACCCAACCAAAATGTTCAGTAGTTCGGTTCGGTTTGGTTCGTGAAACTGGTTTCTAATATCCAACGGCTCAGGTTTTGGTTTGAGTCTTGGTTCTTTTTTACGAGTTTCAATAGAATAACTAAATTGTCATAAATTACATACATACTTTAATTAAACGAAAAGCACTGAAATTAATTTAATCTTAAGCCATGTTATCTATTTTATACATTTAGAATATATAACAAATATTTTCATTTTTCTTTAAATACTCGAAATAAAAATAAAGGGAAAATATGGTTTAAGGCTTAGATTCGACTGATTAATTTTTCTAGTTAATTTTGTTTGAAGCTCGGTTCATTGTAAATATAATTCGAACTCAGGACTTAACCGGTTCACTTAAAAGCCGGTTAGGCGCCTTGCCTTAAAGTTTTAATTATTACAAACATATTATTTCGATTTTCTTTAACTTTCTATATGTTTGTCTACCTTTTCTCAGCGCCTGTTTCTATATGATGTAATTTTAAATATATTTAAATAATTACTTAGAGCTTGGAGAGCTGTTGTGTACCTAGTCCCCACCCCTCCATAGACCTTCTAGTTTATTGTGAGGGTGCGAGTTTTTCCATTCTGTCGCTCAATGTTGCGTTTAACAGTTTTTTCTGTTGTTCAATCAACAAACTTGGATTTATCAGTTAACAGCCAGTTATGGGCTATTGTTAAGTACAAACACTTTGCTCAATGAGCATTTATTTAATGTTGTATACACATATTTGTTGTGGGCACAAATCAAAATGCTAATTCGTTGCGGCTGCCGGCTGCAGGTCGTAAAAATTCAATAAAAGATTATGAAAATTGTGCAGGCAACGGCAGCAACAGCAGCAGCAGCAACAACAATAACCATAACAACAACAAATGCGGCAACACCAACACCTGAGTTTTTGAATTTAAAATAAAACTTGGGACACACCCGTAGAAAATTAATAGAAAATGGGCGACGGCCACTTTGAAGAGGCTGCAGCTTCCATTTGCTACAATTTGTTACAGGTGGCAAGCGGGCGGCAGCAACAACAACAACAAAAGCAACAACAACAACAACAACAACATAAACAGCAGCAACGACCTTGCGCTTATTGCGACAGTTCTGCCAGCGTCGCAGGTGACGCTGGCGCCGCTGCTGGCGTTTGCTGTTGATAGATTTGTAAATCTGTTCAGCATTTTGATACCCTTCCTAGAGGGTATTATAATATTATCACGAAGTATGTAACGCTGAGTAAGAGGTGTCGTTGACCAATATATGACTATATATGGGTAAAATGTTATCAACATCAGAATAATATAAATAATAAAAATAATAAATAATTGTGCATAATAAACTTACATGTTTTTCCAAATATATTAATCAATATTCGCGAAATTTTATTTTACATTTCTCCTGATTTACCTGGAAGAAAACGAATACAATATAAATTATATATTATTATAAATCAAAGCAACATTTGATAAGAAAAATACCTTGTCTTAAAAGTATCTATAAGCTATTTGTCCACAAGGGCATTTAATCTTTGACTCTTTCTTGATCACGTTTTACCCCGATCTTATAAAGTTAATGCGCCTAACTGTTGTCTAGTGTCCCACGTGGCGTATGCTTGATTTGTGAACAAGCCCAAAAAAAATCCGAAATTCATAATGAAATTTAGTTAAATGATATGCGGCATTCCCGAGTGCACTTTGCACAACATTTAATCACATTAGCAGTCCGTGAATTTGTTAAAGAGCCCGAGCATAATTTATACATAACATTCATTATTAAAATGTCGCTAGACATTGAAAGCGACAACAGCCACACGAGCAGCGAGACAGATGGACAGACAGCGGGGGGCAGGGGGATAGACAGAGAGGGGGACAGACAGACTGTGAGACATACAACAAATGTTCGTTGAGCATTGAAAAGTTTTGAAATTCGTGAATTATTACTTGCACTTTAACTTGGCTGCGAGCGAGGCGATGACGATGAAAATATTTTACAATCTCAGCGCCTGCCAATTTGTATGTGTGTGTGTGCGAGTGTGTCTGTATGTGTGTGTGTGTGTGTGTGGTTGACATTTTATAGACGGGCGACGGCGACACCGAGTCGCCACCTGTCGCCCGCTTGTTGGCCAGGGGCGGAGTTGCAGGAGACAACTCCAATATGACAAAGCCATTTGCGCCTGTCAACGCCCCGCAATTGTCCCCAGTCGTGCCTTAAGCCAAGATAAATGAGCCGAGGCTAAGACTCCAAAAAACGAACTCCGCCAACAATCCAAAAACAGAACCGACAAAAGTAAAGAACTTTGCACCTTTGACAAAATTCTAATTAGCCTCTCGCGAGAGTTCATTAACATTTTAGTTGACATTTTGTGGATATGCGTGTGTATGTGTATGTGTGCTTGTGTGCGTGTGTGTGTGTACTCTGCCCAAGCATTTCCGTTTGGGTTCGTGCTGCCAACTCTGTTTACAATTCAATTAAACTCGCATTTTTCGTTGCTCTGCTTTGCATAAAACAAATTGACAATAAATATTCCTGCAATATTGCCACATTCGACTAGTGAACTACGTCTTCGGGCCTAATGGAACCGGTTTGACCGATAAGCATTTTATTTATCGGTCTATAAAACGCGCATATATAGCTCTATATATCTATAGAGAAAGAGAGAGAGGGAAGGGGAGATAGAGAAAGAGAGAGCGCGCATCGGCTGCTGTGCGGGTGTTGTGCTAAATTGACGTGCCTATTAGTTGATACAAAATTTAAGCAGCAGCTTAACTACACTGTCCAACAGAGTTCTGAATTAAGTTAGCAACTGTTGTGTTACCAAGATTTCAAGCATCTTCATTGTAAATATTCCAGCATTATAAATACTCCTCAATGTAAAAAGCCTACAAGCTACATAACATTGTAACTAGACTCTTCTTTCATAGTCTTACGCTTGGCAGAGATCAGTACATACTAAGCGATACCATTGCATAATAAAAGAAATTGAAATGATACAAAAAGTTCAAAGTACGTGCATAACTTGATAATATGATTTGCTTGAACATCTCAATCTAGAACCGATCAGATTTTGATTCGGAACATCCATTAAATAGTTAACTTTGAACCAAACCTTAAACCAAACTATCAGTTAAAAAGCCAAGCCGATATCCGAAACAAACCATTTTTCTTTACAAAAAGGGTTTGGCTTAAAATTCAAATACCTTTGAGAGAGAAACTAGCTTCAAAGAATAAATAACTTATGTTTACATGAAAAGTTGTACGTCATTAAATATTTGCTATAGAACGGGGAAGCGTAAATAAAAAACGGAACTGTTCCCTTAAGACTTTAGGAATTAAATGACAAAGCAAGTCTCAGGTTTAAGCCTGAGTTCAGGGATTGTAGAAAAACAAGCTTATGCTAAGAACCCAAAGGCAGGAAGTTGGCTCGAACCAAGGAAATTTGCCTTTAATTTACATCCCCGTTCCAAATGAGCATACAAATGGCATATTAGTTTATATCTATAAGAACCTATTCAGTTGCTAATTGTATCTGATGCTTTCAATCACTTCAGTTGAACTTAACTGTGTAGCAGAGTGTATGCTTTTAAATATTCATTAGAATTTCAATTAGAAACACAGCCAAAGAATATGTCAGAAAAATCGCAAAATCGCATTTTGATTGAGAACTTGTTTTGTTTTCTTCAGAATGTTGTATCTGATTTTTAAAGGTATTGTCAGGTATTGGATAATCGGATACATTCGCAGCCGAACACTTGCGATATCAAATTGGCATATCTAAAGGATGTCATGTTATAAAACCTGTCCATTTATTTCTTTATGACATTTTATACGATTACATTAGCGACGCAGTTTCAAACGTCAAGCGAGGGGGAAAAAAACAAAACAATATTGTTATAATAATAAATTAAAACATGAGCATTTAGCGCATATACAAATTATAATTTCAAATCGCTCAAAGTGCCACTCGAGACTTTTAACAAAAATGTTAAACATTTTATCGGCCTTTTTTGTTTGTTGTCGCTTTTGTTGTTGTTGTTGTTTAATATGCGAGAACTTAAATGGCGGGCTTTGTCGGCGATTTGTGCACTTTTCGACGGTTTCATTTGGCAACTAATCGAAGGCGTCGCATGCTTTAAGTGTAAACAAATTAACAAGATCATTTACCATAATTGAGATGCCGATCTCGAAGGCGGAACCCCGTCTTAGATTGGAGAACGGGCCATTTCAGCGGCTGCCAGCTTTGATCTTGGCTTACATTTCGGTTTTTTTTTTTGACCGTCAAAACTGCAGTTGAGAAATCAAAACAATTGTCTCCACTCAGCAGCGCCCTCTGGCGGCGCATTAACCAAACTGAATTTATGGGATATACGTATATGGGCTGGGTTATACAGCCCAGCAGAAGTCAAGATCATAAATTAATTAAGAGCGCTGCACGGACGGCATTTCAAATAGACAAAATATGGGACACTGGCTGACAGGGGGCGGAGGGGGGGACGGCGGCAGCCGGGGGCCAGGCTTGCGACCCACAATTGATTGGCCCAATACCAAAGGGTGCACCCCACAAGTATCTAATGCAATCAGAGAACGATTTTTCATGGGCAACGCTTTTCATCTACTTTACAGATTCAGCGCACGACGAGAGAGGCGTTCGGCATGACGGAAACTGCTTAGGTATTCAATGCGGCGATCGGCACCCAAGTCTCTGTCGCAGTCCCAGTCCCAGCCCCAGTCCAAGTCCAAGAACTGAGAACCTTTGTAGCTGGCCGCAACAAATCAATCCATCGAGCGGCGTGACAAACTGCGAGCAATCGTACCCTATCAGCAAGAGCCTCCCTCCCCTACCCCAACCCAACCCACCGATTATAGAAGCAAATATGGACTCACGCATCGGCCTGGATTATATAGTCGAAAATCGTGACTACATTGCCAAGTTGGGCTCTGCCCTAGACACGCAGAATGCGACGGTCAAGAAGCAGGTCTTCGAGCTGCTGTCCGCGCTCTGCGCCTACAGCCCCGACGGCTATGCCCGTGCCATCGAAACTCTCGAGTTTTACAAGGTATAAGCTAGCTATATGCCCAACCTTCATATTATTTATTAATTATGTGCTTGTCTAGAATCTCAAAAAGGAACGTTATCGCTTCAAAATTGTCATCAACGAGCTGGAACTGTCCAGTGCAGCGCCAGCGCCACCGTTGGACTATCAAGCAACTCTGCTGGCCTTCATCAACTGCGTCATCATCTCGGAGCCAAAGCTGCAGGAGCGCATACGCATACGCAACGAGTTTATAGGTAAGCAGTTATCCTATTTCGCTCTATAGATGCTACACTATTTCCAATCTCTTAAACAGACAAATTAGTTATCAATGATAAGGTCTTAAGCCCACGTTCTTAAAGTTTCATATAATAGCTTTTTCAACTATGCGTAACTCAGGAACTGTAAGAGTTAGAACTCTAAAATTTGGTATACAGCTAGCTCTAATGCTTACTAACTTTCATTAGTTAACTTATCAATTAACTTCTTCATTGTCCTTAGTTAAAATACATATGATATATAGCTAACATTTCCCACATCTACCCCTACTCACACTTTACAAGTGTATTGTTTACATTTTGTTTGGGTTCTGTTTTGCTTTCTGCCAATGCTGATAACCAAAAGCCATAACGATAAACACATTAGGCCAACCACAAAAAGTCATCAGCCGACCTCCTGTTGCCCCAGGTCCCCTCCTCCCACCACCTTTTTCGAGTCAACTGTTTTGCCCCTTTTGCAACTGGCTGCTGTCTTCGATTTCATTGATTTGATTGATGTGCCCGCTGATCCGCTGACGGCGCCGCTGATCGGCACTGCCCTTGACCATATACAGCATACACCAAATGCCCGGACGGAGTTGGTTAGCTGCATGTCACAGCCACGCCAGCGACCCTCGGGGCTCACGGAGCTCTCGCGACTCTTTTGGCTCTGGGGGTCGTGGATAATGATAGTTTCGGCATCGGGTTTGCCATACAACAAATCGCCAAATCGCCTTTGTCTCTTGACGCAATCCAATTGAGTAACCTTAGCACGTGCCAACGATTAGAGGTGCGTCTTTAAAGTTTTCGACTGAAAAATGTCGTGTTAGCAACAGAAAATTGACTCGTGAATAGCCCATAATTAGAATAAAAGTCACTATAAAACGTGACTAGGGCTATTCAAGAAATGTTTATGGAATAAGAAATTGCTCGATTAAAGCTGAAAGCTATGAAACTCAGAATTCCCAAACAGTTAAAGTAGCCAAAGGAGCCAAGTTTAACTAGTGAGTTAAGATCACCAAAGAAATATTTTGTTAATAGAATATAATATGCATTTTCTATATATAGTATAGTATATATAGTATACAGAATAAGGAAATGTTCGCTTAAAGCTGAACACTATGAAATTTATATTGTTTACTCTTAGAATTCCCAAACAGTTAAAGTAGCCAAATAAGCCAAGCTTATGCATTCTTCTCAGTACTTGTCAGTTGTGCTTCACCCCAACATTTTTGGTAATAAATTTATTCACTTGCTTAAAATTTAATGTAGCTAATTTCTTATGGCTGACTGTTAAAAATAATTTGAATATTCCTTGTCATGCCCATATATATGATATTTCCAACATGTTTATATGCTCATGCTGCCTATTTTGGGGTTATGCCTGGGTCTTACCCCAAGATCCAAGGGTTCCCACTGCATTACGACAACAAATTGTTATTTAATTCTGACTTGTCGAGTTGTACTTAAGAGCTCTGCTATATCAACAACATAGACACGTAGTTAAAATGTAATAATTCGCCTTTTTCTCAGTTGTTGACAAACAAGGGGCGCACTCACATCCTGTGCCCGACAGCCTCAGTACCCTGCCCATGCCCCTGCCCCTGCTCCCCATCCGTAGGCCTGTGCAAAGTTCATGAACTGTGCCCGTGGCCCCCGCCCATCCCATCGGCTACAGTTGCAGCCCCAATTCTGCTGAGCTGGAGGCAGTCGTCAACCCGCTTCTTATGACTTTGATTGAGCGCAGTTGTGCGTGCGCAGGCGCAGCGACAGCAGCAGCAAATGTGGGGGGGGGAGCACTCGCTGATGCGTTGAATGATGGCTGCACTTGCCACGGGCTGCGGCAGAGGGGATCGCCTTTTTATTGTTCTTAATTAAAATAAATTGAGCTGCGCTTTTTCAGCATTACAAGAAAATAATAAAGCAGCAGTTGTGCAGCGACAAAATCTCAACGGCAAAATGTAAGTCACGCACTGCACCTCCAGCGACAAAACCCAGTCCCCCTTTCCCCCTTTGCCACTGCTCGCTGTTAATAAAGGGGAGTTCGGGTTGGTGGAACATTTCACACATGCAGTTGTTGGCATATCGACTTGAACACATTCCTCAGCGACACATTTGACAAGAAACGGCCGCGTTTTGTTTGGCAATGAGATGATGTATTCAGTTTCAAGGCTGTTGGCCCCCGTAGCACGCTCCCGTGCACCCCCCCCCCCCCCCCCCCCGCCCCTGACCGCGGCGAGCATGTACCAATCTTTGAGTTTCCAGGAACGCCCCAACAACATGATAAATATTTGCATATATTCGATTCAAAGATTCATTCCGTGAAATTTGCTAATGCCACTTAAGTGTCCAATTATTGGCTCAGTCTCTCGCTCTCTCTCTATCTCTCTCTCTCTCTAGAGCTCGTTCGCTCTCTTGAGAACTAGAGATCTTGAGATCTTTGATACGGAATCCGTGCTCGACCCGGACCAGAGTATTGCCATCATATCTGTTGTATGTCATCTGTCAAGTCCATCGCTGCCGGCTGTGCGGCGTTCATTGATTTATGCCCCATGATTTTCCACATTGGCACGCAAAGTTTTTCATAGTTTGTTGTCGTTGTTGTTGTTGTTGTTGTTGCTGCTGTTGTGACCGCGCCATAAATTTATTTATTTAACAATTTTCTCATTTAGTTGGCTGGCAAATTTCAATTTCAATTGATTTATAAAGCGTCAACAGCTTAACAATTTACATATAGCCGAGCAAAAAAAAAACCAAAAACAAATATTCAAATCGAATTGATTTTGATTTCCAATTTTTGCTTTGTTTCTTTTTCCTACTATTTTTGATTTTATTTTATTATTTATCTCTTTGTTGTGTGGCGTGTTATTAAACAATTAACTTTGGATTCTTGGGCGTGTTTGCAAATTCCTTGGCTGTAGGGCACAAAAAACAATCTGAAGCTGTATTTTAGGATCGGTTCTCCCGTTTCTCTAGTGGAGACCTCGACTTCCGAAAAACTGAAACAATGCCCCGGACAAAGAAACTTTAACACACACACACACACACGTATACACACATTTTAATTGTGCGCCTTTTATGGTTTTCAATTTCAAATAAATAAAACGACAACGAAACAAAGTCGTAAAATAAAATTATGAACGTCAAGGCGCCAAATAAGGCGAACACAGGGTGGGCAGACTAACGGGTGTAATCATGGGAGGGGAAGCAGGGGCAGGGGGAGGGGTTCGGGCAACACAGAAGCTACAACGACTTTCACAAGCATTTTTGTAATTAATTTTTTATTATATTCATTCACAATAATACACAAACACACACACACAACAAATTAATATAAAACATATAAGTTTGTGCGCAAATAAAAGCAGGAGGCGAAAAACAACTAAAAAAAAAAAAACAAGCTTGACCGGAAGTGAGACTTGAGGCGCATTGGGCGGGCAGACCGAGTCCCCAATACCCAGTGCCCAGTACACAGTACACAGTACCCAGTCGGCGGTGGGAGTTGGGCCAGTGGCACAAGTTAAGACCAGATACGAAAATCTTGATAACTCGATGACAAATAAACTGGGCAGAGTTTACACGAGAAAACAAGCTGCTTAATACATGTTGTCACATGCAAATCAATGGATTATGCCTAAAGTGGGTCCTACATAAAACCAGCTTGATAATAAATCAACAGTTTATAGTATTTTACTCCTTGTCACTTTGGTCAAGGAATCGAGAAATAAAGGAATTTGAGTTTTGTTGTCAATCGATAGTGAAGATCCTTACAAGTTCGAAATGGTACAAACTTCCCAAATCGGACATTATTTGACTATGACTTGGATAAATAAAATAATCATTTTAAAATACTTTGAAGCCATAAAGAAAATTTGTTAATTTAAAACAGATACTCGCAAGTTCGAAGAGTTTTTTAATTAGAAATTAAATGAATGTGTTGTTCAGTTGTTTTGGATTTTCCACCCAAAACTGTGGAAATTCGCAACCTTTTTGTTTATTATCGGTTTTAAACTCATTTTCAAAGATCTCTGTGAGAATTTATTTGATACGTTTTCGACAAAATGCACCGCTCTTGGATGAAAAAAAGTGGGTCAAGGGCTTAATAAGCAAATGTTTATATTTCACCACGAGACTAACATATGCGGAAACCGTTGATTCTACGGGCGTGGAAAGGAAATATCTAAAATGCTTAGCACAAAACGTTCCACGGGCAAGGCCGGGCAATACCCGCTAGTATATAAGATTATTCCAATAGCAAAGTGCAAAGAACAGCATTTTTATCAAGAGTTAAGCTAAATAAAAAATATATTAGTCTCAAAGAAACAAAGCTACAGGTTCAGATTAAATTGTGATTCCCCCGAACATATAGCAAAACCAAGGCAAAAAAGTAGACAGGCGGAGGGTTATATATCCGACAGCCATTGCTGTTCATGATTTCATCGATCCACTTCATGTGATACCAGACATCCGTATAGATGGAAGGCAACTGACTGTGGCCGCAGCCAACGGGATAGCTAGTCACGCCATAAACAGTTAGATTAACCATAAGCGGAGAACCGGCATCGCCCGGGCAGGGTTCTTCGTCTAGAGTGGAGTTCAAATTGCCGGCGCACATCATTTCCGGCATGAAGGGATGTAGCAGTCGCTCGCATATGACTCGCTCCTGCAACATGACATCGACAAAGAGTATTCTGGAAGCGAGTACACCGCCCTGCAAACAAGGGTAGACATGATTGAAGATCAGCCCAATTTCGCAAGGCAAGTCTAGTGAGAACCTTGTAGAGGCGCCCCCAGCCCATGACCTTGTACAAAATACCAGATGTGGGTGGACCGCGCGGCAGATTTAAAACCCCAATGTGCCGATTGTCCGAGGGCAGCTTATGCTTCAGCTTAATGAGCGCAATATTGTTAGTATTATGCACGGTATAGTTTTCGGGCACAAATATCTTCTTGGCCGGCATATTCAAAGTCTGACGATGAACGATCTTCAATCGATTGGGGGTTCCAGCCACAATCAGTATCAATCGACTTCGGTGAACGACCTTGCGTTTGCTTTTCGGAAAGAATTGCTGCTGGATCAGGGATTACTTTTGATAAACCCAAATTCGATGTACCCACTCCATCACACACTTCGCAGAGGTTAGCACATATGTGAGCGACACTATGGAGCCGCCGCAGAAATGATTATCGCCAAAGAATGTGCGCGGCGTACGCGATCTGATGGACACCACATATTTGGCCAGCTTTTCATAGACATCGACGCTAAAGCTTGGTGTGGCCAGACGCCTCACACGCTCCTCACCGGACACAAACTGCCTGCCAAGAGCAGCCAATGACAATATTAGCAAAAGCTGTAAATCGAACAATTTTCTGTATAACATGACAGTTATACAATATACAAAGCTGACGTTGACTAAATGAGGGAGTGTTTTTAGAGAAAGTTTGTGTACTCTGTTGTATTGCGAGGATATTCAATTCGATTATATTTGCGAGCTTTATATATCTAAGAAGAATAATGTTGCCAGATTTAAATGCCTAATTGATCTAGAGGCCGAATTATGAACAAAAAGGCAAACCTCGTCAAAATCTGATAAGATTTGACCGAGTTATGGATGCGGGAAATTTTGACCTATGTCTATATAGGATATTTGAGGGTACAATTTTCACATGAATTTTGACCAAAAATAATGTTTCCAGATTTTGATGCCACATTGATCTAAAGGCCAAACCATGTACAAAAAGCCAAACCTCGTGAAAATCGGATGAGATTTGACCGAGTTATGGGTGTGGGAAATTTTGACCTATGTCTATATAGGTTATTTGAGGGTACAATTTTCGAATGAATTTTGACCCAGAATAGTGTTGTCAGATTTAGATGCAACATTGATCTAAAGGCCAAACCATGTACAAAAAGCCAAACCTCGTGAAAATCGGATGAGATTTGACCGAGTTATGGGTGTGGGAAATTTTGACCTATGTCTATATAGGATATTTGAGGGTACCATTTTACTTACTAATTACTTATTCTTTCTTTCTTTCTTTCTCTCTAAATGGTTTTTTTCTCTCGCTCTCTCTCTCTTCTTCGTTCTCTCTCCACTGGAATTCTTTCTAATGCTTTTTTACTCTTTCTATTTATTTTTCTACATATTTGAGTTACTTCCTCTTTCTCTTTCTTTCTTCGACCCTCTCTCAGGCGTTCTCTCACTCAATCACTCTTTATTTATACATTTTATTTCATGAAAATCGCATAGAAGAGCGATTAAGCGACGCTCTCTCACTTTATGTCTCTCTCTTCGCCACACTTCCAATCACTTTTAAATATAGTCAAGCTACGCTATTTTTACAATTTAAAGTAAAACTCTTTTAGTTATATATAATTGTGATATATTCATTTATGTGTGCTTATTCCGCTGAATCAACTTGTTATTCATATGTCGTTTTCTTTGCAGGCCTCAAAGTATTGCCGCTGCTCAACACTCTAAGGTGAGTTTAAGGTTTATAGCTTTAATAGCAACAGAGGATGGCAAATGTTAGTCAAAGACATGGCCATGCCGGACCCACACAAGCACAACTAACTATAAAACTTGTGCATTTTGCGCCATGTGTGTGTGTGCTGAATCGAGACAATTTATGCAATGTTTGTTAACTGAAACCCTGAAACACACCCACTACAACGACAACAACAACAACAACAACGACAACGACAACGACAACTGGCAGTCGAGTCCAAATGAATATCACAAACAATTTGAAACGTTTTGCCATTCCGATGTGAATACACTCGTACCCAGCATTCGATTTATGATGTCGAATACCCATTTTGATTTGCATGCAATGGCTCAACTAGACAAGATCAAGGCCCAAGCGCAACAAATTCACATGGGCATGCAAAGTGGCGCCCCCCCTCCCTCCCTCTCCCCTGCCCGCTCTACCGCTTGGGGTGTCAGGGGTCGGCGCAGGTGCCATCATTAACGGCCGCTTAAGTGTGGTGGCCAAGTTTGGCCGATTTGGACGCTTGTCAAACATCCATCAAAAACGGCAACGATCCGAAAATTGTACGATTTTTTACTCGTTATTTGTTTGGGACTTATGCAAATAATTTACGCCGATTTTTTTTTCGTATTTTTCGAAGTCTGTCAAGCAATTAATTCAATATTTAATTAGTCAACAATAAATCAATTAGTTAGCTGTAGCCCAACCCCCCCACGCCGCCGGCCGCTGGCCCGCCCTTGGCTCAAGCCGACAAAACTGGTTTAAAAATTGGGGCCCCAAGTTGACAATAATAATTTGCCGCTTCGTATAAAACTAAAACAAATTCAATTAATTTTTCAAATAGTTTAGCTCCAAAAATGTAAAATAACAATATGCCCCCCCCCCCCCCCTCCATTATACTCCCCCCCTCTGCCTTTGGTTGGGGCAGCTTCTTCAGCTCTCGTCTGAGACAAAATGCCTAATTGATTGTTCTATGCCATTTGTCTTGTGGCTGCGGCTGTGTCTGAGGCCAAGTGAAGCCCATCCATTTTGTCTTCTGGCAGTTGACACGCCCCTCCCCCCCTCCCACCTCTGCTGCCACCGCCTCAAGTCTTTACCCCCTACATGTGCTATTGTTATGAAAATTTGAAATGCGTAGTTTCTCGCGCTTTTTAATTTATTTCAAATATCAAATGGCTTTAAACGTTTTCATTGAGCCGAGCAGCGCTTTGATTTCAGCGCTCCACCCTCCCTGCCCCGGCTATTGTTTATGGGAGGGGTGCCATGGAGGTGCTATAAATAAACGGATATTCATTTGAGCTTTTTCGACTGCGTAGCTTGGAAGCTGCCGTATTTACTTAAGCGGCTTTTAATTGCTGTCTCGTCCAATGAGTTCTAATCAATCTTAAGTTGAGGCAATATTAAATAACACAGATTTTCTATAATGCCAAATATCTATGCTCTGGGCATATAAAATTACGTTAAGGCTTACAAGAATAACAAGAAAGCAAATCTATGCTTGGCACGCCGAAGAGCAAATACCCTTGTGGCTTAGGAGGGATTTTATAGCAAAACTTCCTCACGACAAATTGTTCCTATGAGAGCCTTATATATCTAAGAATTCCATTTGATACAGTTTAGCAGATATTTTAGAAAAATAATGAAACTCTTAGTTGCTGAGTTTAGTGACAATTTTTTGGAAACCAGAAAAGTATTCCATGCATGGACTAATATTATGAAAGATTCTTCCTATACAACAATTGGTACGACTTTAGTAAGATTTTTCTTATATGAAAGGAACAGAGAAAACAGCTTTGATCTAGATAACTATAAAAAAAATGTAGTTTTTCATACTATAAATGAATTATTGACCGATCATTTCTTTTATAGCCTTATGATATAGCGATCGGATGCGGCAGATTCCGAGATTTAGTCAGCCCGCAACATAAATAGGGACCCAAGCTAGGCGATATAATTAGATTTGAGAGACTTTATAAGGTCGTAGACACAACAGAAAGGAAAAATAAGATACTAAAAATACAATCTAAAAGCGCGTTTCAAGATTTCTAAGCCTTTCCACATTTTGCAGATACTAGAATAAATGTTTGATCTGTCGAAAACTCAATAGGTAAAACGTAAACTATAAGTTCTTCTTCATTTCTATCTCATTTCTAACCAACTCTTAAATTGATTTAAATTTGATTGCCCAAATTGGGAAAATCTTTTTCGGTTCATTTTCGTGTCTTTAATTTGCCGTGTTGGTTTGTTTAACTTCCTCAGCTGCGCGCTGCTTAGTTTTCTATTCCTCCGCTTTTGGCACCCGCATTTCGTGGCAGCCGGGTAAAAAAAAAACTTCCGTAATAAGCCAAAATAGAAATCGCTGGCAAAACAAAAACAAAACATTGGAACAGCCGATGATGTTGACGAAGTGTCTCGTCAAAATAAAAGAGCCTCAAAAGAAGAGTTGGCAAAGTTTTTGGCCGCGACGGCTCTCCAGTTGCCAAGTCAGCTTTTCCATTTTTGTTTTTTTTTGGCTATGGAGAAATCAATGCGCGCGCAGCACGTGGCAAGGACAATGGCAACAAGAACAACAACAAGAGGAAGAACAACAACAACAGTAACAGCAGCAGTGAGCCGCTCTCTCTCTCGAGTCTTTTTGGCTCCGTTTGGTCTCTGCTCCGTCAGGCCGTGTCCTGCCGCGTCCTCGTTATTGCCATTTGCCTTGCTGCTGGCTGTTGACTCGTCGCGTTTCGCTTGCAACACGAGAAGCACGAGAACAACACAATTGAAAAGCAATTAAAAAAGCTGCCAGTCGATTTATGGATATCAATTGACACACTCACACAGAGCCATAAAAGGAGCAAATCTGTACAGACAGACGACACACACGGCGCAAGGACACAACGGAACGACAACAACTATCGAATATGGTTGCCTCTGGCGGCTGCCTATAAACGGCGCCTTGCCTCGACTCGCTTTCTGATTGCCAAGGCTGCAACGTGGAGTCATCATCCGAGTCCGAGTCCGTGTCCGAGTTTGAGTTCGAGCGCAAGTCCGGGTCGACATTGCCGCTGCCCTCGCAGCTGCAGCGCCGCGTCACGTATTGCTGCGCGCTGTCCCGTTACAGCGGCGCCGCCTCGCAACTGGTGCAGAATCTCAAGTGAGTTTGTGTGCCACAGATCCACATTTCTGTGTATTATTTTGGCAACCTGCTGCGGTCACACACTTGAACTGTTGCTGTGTGGCAACTGCTGCCACTTGCCGCCCGGCTGTGCCATAAATCGGACATGAGCATCACATAAATCACAAATCAATTAATCCGCACAGGCAAAACAAATTGCAAATCGCAATAATTGACGCTTGAATAATGAGCCGGACGGACAGATTGAATGCAACTGCAATTAGCATTTTAGCCATTTAACCCATTATTGACTCATTTATCCGTTTACCCATTGCAGAAAAGTCGCACAGAGTGTCTCCGATATCATCGTACAATTGGACGTATTCGTGGAGCAGCAGGAATGCGACGAGGCCCAGAGCCTGCAGGCGCCCGATGGCATCAACCTCAACTCGCATCTTGATGTCTTCTACGCGATACTGCGGCAGGTGAGTTATTTCCAATCAAGGGCCGATTAGCACATTAACACCTCTGCGCCCCATCTATACTCCGTCTGTCAGATGCGGCGTATACGTATTGCGTATTATTTATATGACACTTTTATGCATTTGCATATATGCATTTAATTGTGCATTAAGATACGTATCATATGCCCTCATGGCTATAGGTATGTGTGTGTGTGTGTGTGGGTGTGGGTGTGTGTGTCGGAGTGGGAGAGGGTGCATAGGGGCTGGGCAGGGGTGTGCTAAGCCAAGGCTAGGCAATGCCAAATGCCAACCCGGACATTGCACGCGAACTGGATTAAATGTCAACCTGTCATACTGAAGGAAATAAGTATCAGGCCCATAGATCGAGAGCTTATTAAATAATGAAAACTTTTTAAATTTTACCAACACAGTGGCGCCATCTAGCGGCAAGATAATAAATGCAATTAAATAAGGAATTAAATGCCTTCAACTAGCTGCTAGAAAATGAGGTCTTGTTAAGGGTTACAAAGATACAAAGATACAGCTCTTGGATTGCCTGACCTTATATTATTTTAGCTTAGCCTTAGAGCCTATCACTTACCCCTTTCGTAACCAGTTGTGGCAAGAAGCTCGGAACTAAGACTCTCAATTGTTTCCATTAGTCGACTGGTATCGGTTGACATGCTGTGCTGGTATTCATATTCCTGCAATAGTTGACATATATAAAAATACAATTTTTTAATAATTTAATTAAATGTTGACTCACAAAATACGCTATTTCTCGCCGCCAGGTGGCCGATAAGCCGCAGGAGGGGCCCTTTCTTAGCATATTGCAGCATCTGCTGCGCATCGATTCGAAGGATCCGCTGAGCGACGTTATTTGGGACACCACCGAGCGGCTGGTGCATCGCGCCACACTGCTCGAGGATCCCGATGATGCGGTGCGTCTGCAGCGCCATCAGAGCACACAAAAGTTCACCTGCCCCAACTGCCGGTCGGGTGATGCCAGCAGTCCCACAAGGAAGCCCTCACAGTCGCATGTGGTGGCGGCTAAGCCACCGCCTGCACCAGCTCCGCCGCCGCCGCCGCCACCCGCAACGATTACAGTTAATGGCGCCGCGCCACCGCCGCCGCCTCCGCCCGTGCCGAATGGGAGCGCACTGCCACCTCCATCGTTGCGTCCGATCACGCCGCTGCCCGATACGGCAGCGGCTGTGCTGCTACCGCAGCAGGATACGCCGGCGCCCAAGGCCAAAATGAAGACCATCAACTGGGGCAAGATACCGGACAACAAGGTGCTGGGCAGGGAGAACATCTGGAGCAAGATGGCGAACGTGCACCGTGACACCAACCAAACGGACATTGACTTCAACGAGATGGAGGGCCTCTTCTGCCAGCAGCCCACCAGCGGCGAGGGCTCACCCAAGCCGAGCCCCAAGATCGGCAAGTCGTCCGCGGCCAACGGTAAGGACACGCTGGACCGCAAGGGCAAAAAGGAGAGCACCGAGATCACGCTGCTGGACGGCAAGCGCAGCCTGAACGTGAACATCTTCCTGCGGCAGTTCCGCAGCAACAGCACGGACATCATTCAGCTGATACGACATGGCGCGCACGAGGAGATTGGCGCCGAGCGGCTACTGGGCTTGCTTAAAATACTGCCCGAGGTGGATGAGCTGGACATGCTGAAGAGCTTTAATGGCGACCGGACGCGTCTGGGCAGTGCCGAAAAGTTTCTGCTGCAGCTGCTCGAGGTGCCCAAGTGAGTTGCCCAACCAAAATGTAATCCAAGCTTCTGCCTCATCTCTCCTTTTCCCTCTCTCCCATAGCTACAAGCTGCGCATTGAGAGCATGCTGCTCAAGGAGGAGTTTGCCGCCAATATGGCCTATCTGGAGCCCTGCATCAATGCCATGCTCTATGCGGGCGATAATCTGCTCAACAACAAGGCGCTCCAGGAGGTGCTCTACATGGTCGTTGTGGCTGGCAATTTCCTCAACTCCGGCGGATATGCGGGCAATGCGGCCGGCGTTAAGCTCTCCTCCCTGCAGAAGCTAACAGACATTCGGGCCAACAAGCCGGGCATGAATCTCATACACTTTGTGGCCCTTCAGGTGGAGCGCTGCAATCCGGAGCTGCTGCAGTTCACCGCGCAGCTGAATACCCTCGAAAATGCCAGCAAGTAAGTGGGCGGAACACTATCTCTTTGAGAGGCACACTCAAAGGAAATCCTTTCTCCTCAGAACCACCTCGGAGCAAATAAAGAGCGAAATTGGCACTCTGGAGAATCGCATCAGGAAGATTGCAAAGCAAATTGAGCTGCCCGCAACGGATGCGGACATAAAGCAGCAGATGTCCGAGTTTGTGCTGGCCGCCGACTCGGAGATGGCGGTGCTCCAGGCGGGCATGAAGCAGGTGGATGCGTTGCGGCTCAAGTTGGCTGAATTCTTCTGCGAGGATGCGGCCACCTTCAAGCTGGAGGAGTGCTTCAAGACCTTTCAGAGCTTCTGTGATAAATTCAGGCAGGCCATCAAGGAGAACGAGCGACGAGTGCAGCAGGAGAAACTGGCGGAGGAGCGTAACAGAATCCGGATGGAGCAAATGGCCAAACGAACCAGGCAAGGTGCGTATCTGTAGTTCATTTTAATGGAATCTTGTTCTTATTCCTTGATTCACATCTTTTGCAGTGGGTCAAGCGGGCACGCCCGTCTCCGATTCCGACTCATTTCTGGGCGACGGCCTGTTCGATCCGCGCGCCAGTCCCGCGCTCAGCAGACGCCAGCTGGGCTCGGGTGAGATTAGCAATGGCTTCATCCGGCTCGAGCAGGAGTACAGCGCCTCGCCAGACATCACACCCAACGGCAGTCTACGCCGGCGCCCCAGTCGCGTGCTGGCCGGCGAGGACGACCTCATGGAGTATCTGCGCAGCTCCACCGGACCACACGATGGCCCCGGCCACATCAGTCGCGAGCGCAAGGCCGCCTATGGCAGTCTAGGTAAGTGCTCCCTAATTCTGCAGATGTTTCTGCTGCTTCTCATAGTTAAATTTATCCATCTAACAGATCGCTCCTGGGCACGACGCGCACGCTCTGGTAGCTCGAGTCGCAAGCGTCCGGATCTACTAAATATTGACTTTGGCGTTGACCGGGAGCGCGCCAGCTCTCCGGCTCCACTGCTCCAGCAGCAGCAGCAGCTGTCGCATGAACGCCTGCAATCACCGCTGGCCAGCAGCGGCACGGCCACGCCCACAACGGCAGCAAATACGCCCATCAGCAATGGCCCAACGAGTCTCCAGCAGCAACAGCAACAAACGCAAGCAGCGCACGAGGATGCGAAGCCGAGGTGGGTCTATGCTATATTTTTTTTTAAATATTTACCTATTTTATTATTAATTTTTTAATGTTAATATTAATTATTGGGAAAAAATATACTAGATTTTCCTTTTATAAATTAGAATTAAAATCCTGCCAAAGTTTTGGAAAAGAAAACTTTGCTTTACAAATTTTAATTATGACTGAAAAAATGCATTTATACGATAAATTAATGATTTATTCGGTTCGCCGAAAATATAATACCCTTGTTGACTCTATGATTCTTCCTAGAGTCTAATATTTATATTGATAGGATTTGGCTTATATGTTAGCATCATAGTTTAAATAATAAATGCCGAGTTTGGTCAAGATATCTTGATAGGCAGATAAGTTTTCCATACAAGAACCTACTTTTCGAACGATTGTTCCTCCTATATTGGTCCGATCGGACCAGTTCCGAAATAGGTACTGCCTGCAACACAAAGATGGGCCCATATATCATTACAATACGATAGCTTTAAAACTAAGACAGACAGACGGAAGGACAGACAGATGGAAGGACAGACAGACGGACGGAAGGACAGACGGACGGAAGGACAGACGGACGGAAGGACAGACAGATGGCAGGACAGACGGACGGACATAAAAGAAGAGGATCAGCCTCCTTTTATGCATTACGCATTTCAGAACACAATTTTGATACCCTCTACAAGGGTACAGAAAAGAGTTCTGATTGGCAATTGTTAAAATAAAACTATATATATAGAAAAAAAAAATTAAAAATTAAGGATTATATCAGTTAAGCTTAAGAAATTTCGAAATAAATTACTAAAATCGTTATCGACCGACAGAATATCCCGTGAATTCCGCCAGAAAATCGAAACCTGGCTGCAGTCCAACGAAAACGATGAGAAACAGAACGAGGAATACAAGCGGAAACGTCGCCTGGTTAATGCGAATCGGCGATCGCTCGAAAACGAAACTGGTAAGCAGCAGCCGGCTGGATGCACACCAGTTTTAGCTTATCCCCATTTCAATTTTTATAGAAAACGAACGAAAACTGGATCCATTGCCAGAGGAGAAGATAATGCCAGCAACAACAACGACGCCGACGATGACGACTCCAACGATCACTAACCCAACTAACAGCCAGAGCAAGGATCTGGAGCAGGAGAAGCAGCAAACGCATTCCAGCAGCAGATATCAGCGCGTCTATGCCGACTGGAAGCCATCGCAGACGCTGGAGCACACAGACGTGGTGGGCAATATAGAGGCCATAGCGGATGCGGCACAGTCGGCACAGCCGCATCTGACCACCGCCGAGGAGCTGCGTCAATATCGTCGGCAGCGCTCCCAGGAGCAGACACAACAAAGTCCCAGTCCGCTGCAATCTATTGCCGAGGAGGATCGCCGCAAGTCCATTATACAAAAGCTGGGCGGCAGCGATGGCAACACAGACCGCTTGAAGATCTATGTGCGGCGTCCGTCCAGCATGGACCTGCAGCCAGAGGCGGTCATGAGAGTGGAGCCCAAGCCGGTAGAGAAGTCGCCCTCGCAGGATGACACCTTTGCCAGCTTGCTGGATCATCATAAAAGTCACAACGAGTCACAGTACTCGTCCGCTAACTCCCAGGAGATTGATGCGGACAACATTGAGACGCCGCCGGTGACGCGACGTGTCATAGCCACACCCAACACCACGGTGGTGACGGTTAGCCTGACGGATAAGCCAAAGCATGCGCCGGAAGAGAAGACCAATGCCAGCCCATCAGCCACCGAACAGGATGCGCCGGGTCACTTCGATAGATATGCGATGGCACGACGCACGCGTCGCTATAAGCGGCCCACGGACTACAGCAGCGGCAACGAGGAGCTGATAACGCCCACACAGGACATCAAGCAATCCGCCAGCGCCAGTGAGATACGTCGTCTGCAAAAGGAAGAACCGCAGCCGGAGAAGGCACGCAACATTACCAAGCTGGAGAAAGTGGGGCGACACATTAGTTCCATCAACCAGGAGGATGTGCGCGAGGCCATACGCAATCTAAAATCGCCCACGGGCACACCAGAGCGACCCTGGAGTCCGCCGCGTGAACTGACTCCAAGCAAACTGAAGCTAAGCGCCAGCGGACATCACGAGCTCAACGACGAGGGCTTCGAGGAGACGCAAAGCCTGGTATCGGACACGCCCTCGCACGGCAAAGGTGAGAGCACGAACTCCTCCTGCAATGAGGCCAATGATGCACCCACGCAGCGTTCACGGCCGCTGTCCAAACAAAAGACCAGCACCACCAGCATCAGCGCAATGGGCAGCCGCCTGGCGGATCGACTGCAGCAGGCGCGACTGCGCGGCAGCTCAACGAATCCAGGCCAAGCCAGCCAGAGGTCACAAAACCAAATGCCAGCCACGACGACGGCGTCGACGACAACTGCTGCGCTGCCCAAGCGCAGCATCTCCGCCAGCCGGCCGCTGCGCATGCCCAATGGCAGTCCCTTGCTGAGTGCCACGCCCACTAGTACACGATCATCCTCGTCGACCGGCGTTCGTAGATCGCCACACGAGCCGCCACAATTTGCGCCCAATTATGCTTTGGGCGTACCGCCCAAGCAACGAGACGTGGAGCGCAGCAGCTCGCGCAACAGTTTACGTTCTTCGAGGTCCTCCATCAACAGCGGCGCATCCACGCAGACCGTGGTTCGGCGTCTGCCCGCAGTGCAGCGCACCGCCACCGTATCCGTGGACTCATCGCCCAGCAAAAGGCCGCTAGCCGCACAGAATACGCGTCCAACAGCCGGGCGGGGCGTGCCGGCCAGTCGCAGCAGCAGCAGCGGCTCCAGCGTGGGTCCCAGCGTAATACTCGTGCGCAGCAAGCTGTCGTCGGGCCAGCGTAGCGCCCAGGCACAGCCGTTGGGCAGCAGCACCAGCTTTAAGGAGAATCAAACGGCGGCGCCCACAGCTTCAGCTGTCGCTTCCCGACTGACAGCGGCGCGCAGTGCAATGCTGGTGAAGAATGTGCTGAATCAACAGTCCAAGAGCAGCAACAACAACAATAATCCGCCGCCGCAACAGCAGCAGCAGCGCAATCGTTCCGTCAGCAGCTTTATGCGTCCCACGGCGAGCAGCGCCACGAAGCGGCAGAAGTGAAGTCGAGGATGAGTAGGAATAGGAGGTATCGTCCAAGTTAACGTCCCAAGTTTACAAACTCATTGAACAAAGACAACAAGTTACAAACGCATCTAATCTAAGCCGTCCAAGCAAACGACATCAAACAAATTAATACAAAACATTTCGAATTTCTAGGCAGGATTTTGCACAAACAACTCCATATTATTGTTAAAGTAGCACAAGCCCAATCCATGGCTCCCAGAGTTATTTATGAGCAGTTATACACCAAGTAGCAACTAGTTTAGAGTGGGTCCAACGATGGGTCCGATGATTTCCAGCACATTCCAAAGTACACGCGTAAAATATTCCATATTGAAAAGCCACTGAAACAGGTGCGTCGTGGATTCGTCACAAATGTGTTTCAATGCAAATGGTTTTACATATTTTGCACACTTCATCGTTTCCAAGGACCTCTTACATTCTAATTGTTAAGGCATGACAAATATTGTTGAAATTCTTAAATATATATGTATTTGAGCACAAAAAAAAAACAAAAAAATACTACTTAGTAAAACTACTCAACTCTAACTTAGCATTAAAAGGAAGTAAACGTTAAAAATTGTCTTTTCCATATTAACATTAACATCTAGTTTTAGACATTATTCGATTATACATGTGTAGGAGACTTCTTTTTATAGACGCGCGTTATTTACAATTGTGTAGTTCAAAACCAAAATCATAATTGATATATGTATTGATATTGGTACCGATGAAAAAATGACAACTACAATTCTTAAATAAACAAAAAATCAAGCTTTAAAATGCATAATAAATAAATTAAAACAAAATAAAACGAGTAAGTGACTCTAGCCGGGAGTTCCCGACTAAGGGATACCCTGAACCCTCTTCTATCATCACCAATTGCGGCTCGCGCTACGAGCTCGCTTGCTTTAAACTTATACAAAAATAATTTTAAAAAGGAAAACTATAGATACTTGATCTGTATATGCTATTCTAGAAACAACATATCAATTTAGGATTTCGCTGCTTATTTTTATCAATTGCTTGGAAACGCGGCAAATTTTCAATAATCGGACAAAAACTTGTACTTCGCGGGTTTTGAAATCGACCCGTTAAAACATACGGACAAACGGACGGGCAGGCGTACAGATGGACGGACATGGCTAGATCGACTCGACTTATGATGCTGATTAAGAATATATATACTCTACGGGGTTGGAGATGCTTCCTTCTGCCTCTTAATGCTGCCTAAAATTTAATTTATACGAAATTAAGTTCGGATCAGCATTGAAGATATACCTGGTAGCGTTAATATTTTCTACAGCTTAGCGGGGATTTAAGTTCCTTAAAATTCTTAAACAGATAATTCTCGCCCTGGTCTAACAAAGGATCCACATAGTTCTGCTTATCAAACCAATCTTTATGGTTCTCCAGGTAGCTAAAACAAAGAACGAAATTTAGTAACCATGACAAAAGCATTTGTTTGGACAAAAATGCAATTACTTAATGAACGAGTCGAGATGTGGCAGCAGATCCGCTAGCTTCTCATTTGATATGGGTGAGGCATTGAGACATTCGGGTAATAAGACTGCGGGAAGAGAGGTCAATAAACAATTTATCGCCAAAAACTCAAGCATGTGGGCCACAACTCACCTAGCATGCGCGCTAAATGCGGTGCTCCAAATATTATGGATTTCTCTGGTGGCGATTCCTCGGACAGCAGACTCCAGCTGAAGGTCTCGCGGAGAAAGCCACGCATTTCCATAGGCAGCTTGTAGGCGGCGGTATAGGCTAGTGCAATATTATTCTTTGTACTATTTTTCTCAATGTACCGAAGGCACTTTTGCAGCTGATTCTCGTACTCAATGTCGCCAAGTAGAGGGCCATCGACTCCATTTGTGCCATTTAAATGACCAGCCATTGATATGAGCTCATTATCACCGCTGGGATTAATGAATTCGTAGGATTTGTTTAATAACAGGCTGCAGTTCTTCATGTTGTTGTCGGTGAGGAAGCCCAAGGCATAATCCTTTTCCTCTCTGTAAAGCAGGTGGTCTTCGAGGTGGAACTCAAAGTAGATGCGTAACCCATCCACGACTTCCTTAAGCATGCACACGCTGTAGAGCAAAGGTAAAGAATTAAATGTGCGAATATGAAATAATTCATAAAATAAAATGGCTCACAAATGGAATCAGAATCCAAGTTGGGATTTTTTTTTTCTAAGTAACACCGAATACTCACATGGACATTACACGATCGTACTCACGCTCCATACGCGCATTACGGCTCAGGGTATTGCGGGCTCGTGAACTGTCCTGCTTGATGCCAATGGCCAGCTCGACTGCGCGCTGCTTCACAAAGTTCTCCAATATGGTCACAATGGGCATGCGAGCGGGCAATGCGTGCTGCTTGTCAAGCTTGCAGATCATGTTGTAGTCGTACTCCATGTATTCGCGCAGCCGCTCGCTGATGCGCAGCATCACACGATCCTCCTGGTGGATCCGCTTTTCTGCATCAGTTGTGTGCGTATCTTTAGGTGAGACATGCATACTAAACTGAGATCTAGCAGATCTTCGCTCACCATCATCGTGTTTATCACCGCCGCCCGACTTTTCTCGCTGCTTTTTGCGGCCTTTACTGTTGTCCCGCGACCGGTTGCCACTGCCATCCCGTGAGCGGTTGCCACTGCCATCCCGCGACCGGTTTCCACTGCCATCCCGCGAGCGGGCACCTCTCTTCTGTTGTGCCGGCAGTTCGGCTTTTGGTGTCGCCGGCAAATTTGCCAGCGATATGTCTAAGGGATCGACTGTGGGATCTTCTACGTTTCCACCTTTGGCCAAGCGCTTCTTCTTGCTGGATGGCAACGTCGGAGGCTTAGAGTCTTTGTACGAGTAGCCGCCAGTTCTGAAAATTGTAAACAAACGGTAAACACACATATACACACGAAAACACACACACACACGCATTTTACTCACTTTTGTAGCTGCGCGGCTTCTGCCAACTCACGCTGCAATTTACGATTTTCTTCGTTGTCTTTTAACAGACCGGCGGCACGAACATTTCGATCCCAGGATGAGTTCCAGCCTTGAAAATGGATTTTGTAATCAAAGTAGCGTAGATTTTCAGCGTCCTTTCGTTCGTACACGGCCAAAACCTATAGTAAAAAGCAGTTTTTCGTTGTGAAAAATCGAAGCAGCCACCTCGTGTTCGGCATTTTTCTTTGACGTTCCGGCACGCTATCGCTGTGTGCGTGAATGCATGTCTGTCTGTGTGTGTGCGTGGGTTACCTTACTGTCGTACAAGACCCTAGCCTTCGATTCGTCGGGCTCGTAGCACAGGACTTTCTCACCCCGGTTGAAAAGCTGGACCTCGTTTTCATGTGCCGTCATCACTTTTGCATATATGGCACCAACTATCAACTTATCTCTAAATTATTATTATTTATAATTTACATTCGTCGCGTCGTTCGCGTTTTTGCTTCTTTTTGGCCATTCACACAAAATGCGCTCGCACCAGGGCTGCAAAAGCTATGTTAATGAGCAAACTAGATCTTGTTCCGTAATTCTTTTTTCTATTTATTTTGGTTGTTCATTAAACTTTGTGTTCATCTCAGATGTTATGCGGCCATAAGAAAAAACCAATGTTCATTTGATTCGTGATTATAAATTATAAATAATACAATTGCAATAGTCAGATTAATTAATAACATCAATATTAATCGAATATATCGGAACCAGTAGTGAACGTACACGGTGATTGACATGAAACGATATTACCATGAAATCGATAACAATTGTTGGCGCAATTTAAAAACAGCCCGTTGCTAAGGAGGAAAAACCAAAACAAATCTGACAATAAATCATCTTTAAATTTTCTCACTGCCCGTGCAATTGGTTTACTGAGCCACCTCTAGAAACACAATATATAATACAATGGCTACTGCATCGGTACCCAATTGGCTGCATGTGGACATCGGGGAAGAAACGCCCCAGGTCCTGTCAACTTTGTCCAGTTGTATGACGCTCAGCGACGTACAGTGCGATGGTTACGTGCGGCTGCTGGCTGCTGACATTTCGCTGGAAGACATCGCGGAGCCCAGTGCTAAGCTCAAAATATTTCGTGGCGTGCAACTAAAGCAAGAGCAACCGTTGCCAGGCATTCCCACGGCTATTGAGAGCCTCTACATAGACGAATCGGAGCCCAAAACGCCGGGTGTGCATGTGGATTCCAGTCATTACCCGATTACAATGCAACTTTTTTGTTTTTTCATTCTGCAGTGATAGCCGTAGCCATTGCAGAGTCTGTTCTGTTCTATCGCCATTTGAAGCCTTACTTCAAGTATACCATTCCCGCCTCTGATGCCGATGAGCTGGAATTGGAGGTGTGGCGCAAGCTGCCCGTCATGAAACCAGAAGCACACGACGGACTGCTGCAGTTGCTCAAGGATGTTGACCACGCCAAACTGTCGCGCAAAACGCAACGGCTACTGCAGCTTTCCGAAGATGAGCGAGCCGTAAGCCAAGTTCCCCATAAATTTATTCATATATATACACCTCTATAACCCTTCAGGCATTTGTCAGCACCCACAAGGATTCGCCCGTGGGCCGTACGGGCAATATTGTGGCCATGTGTTGCCTGAAACGTGTCTCTAGCAATGTGAATCCGCCATCGCACTTGGTTCTAGCCACAGACACTGGTCGCGTCCTTGTCCTGGAACCGCAGGGCTTCAATTTGATTTACCAGGCCAAAACTTGTAGCTATGAGACAGCCGTGCCGAGTCTAATTTCTGTGCACGGCACTTACGAGACGGACTTTTGTATTGTGGTGGGCACGCGCAATGGCGGCGTCTATCTGTTGCGCAAGTCCAGCAGCGAGGGGCAGGAGATCTTCAAGTTGTCCACCCCGTTGACAGGTCTGCAATTGCTGCCAATCGATCAGACAATCGTTATAACCACCATGGAGCATCGCTACCTGTGTTGTTCGAAGCGCGGTAAGCTGCTCTACCAGATGCAACTAGATGCGGCGCCCGTTTGCATTTTGCCCCTGATGCTCACACACCTGGGCATCACACTGGTGGCCGTCGCCCTACAAGGCGGCAAAGTGATTTTCTTTCTTAATCGCTATCAGGTCGATGAATTTGTAGTACCGCAGACCGTGGCTGGCATGATATATGGTCGCATGGGCATGGAGGATCATGTGCTCACCCTGATTACTCAAACGGGCGAAATGATAATTAAGATTTTACGACGTATCACACGTTTTGAACCCGACCCCAAAGCGTTGGCATTGGCCAATAAGGACTCGGGAGTGCCGCACAAGATTGTGGATGCTTCCATTCTGGACAAGTCCAAGAAGAGCTCCATATTCGTAGAGCAGGCGGCGCGCGAAAAACAACAGGCCAAATGTAAGTTGTGTATGATCTGTAATCTGAGCACTTCTAATGCTCCCTTTCTTGCAGCCAGCTATGCTAGCTTTCAGGTGGAATTGTGGCGACTGCGCCACACCGCGGCGCGTGCCACTATAGATGCCATTAACTCCTCAGAGAGCACCATTTCGGGTGATCTGACACACGCGCCCGTCAAGCTCTCAGCAGAGGTCTGCGGCAGCGGACCTGCTTTTCGGCTCTACCTCACCGTGCAGAATCTGTCCACGTTCAAGATGGCCTCCAATTTGTCTGTGCTGCTGCACGCAGATCGTCGCCACTACACCATACAGCAGTCCGTGGCCAGACTGCCAAGTGTGCTGCCCGGCATTCCGCTGCGCGTAGACTTTGAAGTTGTCGCCGTGCTGGATGCCATGGACAAACTGCCACCGGCCAGCCTCACGCCGGACAATTCTCAGCTACGCGTTATGCTGCTGAAAACGGGTCAGGCCAAGCCGTTAATTGCTGCCGTTGTGGCCATGCCACAGTCGGAGGCGGCTTTCTAAAAGCTTTTTAACGTAGAGTTTAAATTGGTTGTTTTGGGTAAGATTCAATATTTATTGTGCTTGTGAAATGACTTTTAATCTTGCTGCTGTTCATCGTTTAGGCGTATTTGGGCGCATACTTCTCGTAGACCTTGATGTATGCTTCCTTGGCCGCATCCTTGGACAGGCCCTTGTGCGAGCTCCACGCCTCATACATGGCCTTCTTTTTCAGATCCAGCACTCCGGGCTTTTCGATGTTAACATCTCCAATGGTGGCCTGCTTGAAGAGGCCGTAGAACTCGAGGAACTCAGAGTCCGTGGGCTTCTTAGCGAAGTTCTTGGCGAGTTCGGCGGCTTGCTCAAAGTTGACCATGTTGCGCGTCAAGTGGGGTATGCAGAATGTTGGCCATTTTATCCAACTAGCATTTATATATAGTTATCCATTCGTAGGTCTTATGCAATTTAATTAATTTAAATTTGGTCCCAGCTGTATGCCTAATTTATATATAGTTGGGTTATCACTGAGCGCTGTTTTAGAGGTCTAAATTTATTAATTAATATTCTGGAAAGCTACCACAATAGATAAGACCTGTTACTGTTTGTCCGATCCAAGATAGTTGTTGGGCGTGAATCATTGAAACTTTTTTGATCGAAAGGTGTTCTGTCTCGGTGACGTGGCTGTGAACTGTGGCCCCGCCACCCCCACCACCAGCACCACTCATTAATTAAGTCGTCCAGTTTATCTTTAGTAACTGACAGGATTGACTTGTTTCGTACATATTTTTTTTTTTTCGATAAAGTATATTCATCGAACACTCATAAAATATTCATGCTAATCTTATCGCTCGAGTGCATAAGTTGACTATATTCATATCTCTACAATGGCATATACTTAGCTCTATGATTGCGAATATATGTATTACTAATATTATTTCTGGCAAACTGCAAGTGCAAACTCGTACGATTTTGTCTGTTTTTTTGTTATTTTTTGGTTTCCTCTGCTAGTAGCCAGTAGCACCTATGCCTAATCAGCATAGGCAATCAGATAGAATGATGTATGTGACTAGAGTGTGTTGGGTTTATCGGAAATGGGACTGAGAATGGCAGTGGCAATGGCAATGGCAATGGAAAGTACAAAAAACTGAGTCTCCTGTGTTGATAAGATTAACCAATAACAATTGGCTCTATGTGTGGGCCCATTATATATAACTATGCGATGGTGCGAATTGGCACACATTGTTTTCGTTCGGCAAACATAACAAATCACCAAACACCAACATGCTGACCGTGAGTAGAAATAAAAACGATAAATATATTAAACTAGGATATCGAAGGACTAACTTTGCTCGTTTCCCCTTCGCTGCAGTTTGAGGAAATCGTTGAGAAGGCAAAGGCCTTCAGCAAGAACGTCACCAAGGAGGACTTCCTGGAGTTCTACGGCTACTACAAGCAGGCCACCGTTGGCGACTGCAACATCGAGGAGCCCGAGGAGGAGGACAAGAAGGCCCGCTACAATGCCTGGAAGAGCAAGGCTGGTCTGACCGCCGAGGATGCCAAGAACCACTACATCGAGGTGTACAAGAAATACGCCGCCAAATACGAGTAAAATGTGCATTTCAAGTAGTTTGCATTAGTTGATTTCTTGTGAACCCATCACGAAAACAAATATTCATGCCACAAATTGCCCGTTGTTAACAAATGTATTTATTGTATTTTTATATTAACGTTAATAAACCCGTAATCATTTAAAACTAATCAACCAAATCAGCTAATTACAGCCAGAGCTTTTTTCAATGATTTTATGTTCACCATAAAAAACTATTTAATAAGAAGTAAAGTGCGTTGTCTTCAAATCAGCAAACATATTTAACACTTTAAGAGCTTACTTCCTTTTAAATTTTAATAAAAAAAAAATAAAAAAAAAAATTTATATATATGTATATATACATATATATATATCAGCGTGAAAAGATGTCTGATAAGACCTTAGTTGCATCCGATTTTATGTTCACCATAAAAAACTATTTAATGAGAAGTAAAGTAAGTTGTCTTTAAGAGCTTACTTCCTTTTATATATATATATATATATAGGTTGGAATAAATATGAGTGTATGTTGGGAATGTCAGCAGATCTTTGAGGGTATTCAGCTTGACAAAATGTCTGATAAGAGCTTAGGTCACATCCGCTGGAAGTTGACTGAGTCGAATCCCTTAAAGTATGCCATATTTAAATGATAGAACTCTTTGAAGTATAAGATACGATAATATGTGTGGGTGGGTGGGTCGATGAGTGTAAATCTATTTATATTGCGTAATAAATGTATTTATGTGGGTATTATTTTAGGCATATAAAGCTTTTACTCAAGCTTCAATTTAATACCCTATTCTTATCAGACAAACACCTTAAGCTACCTATTTAAACAAATTAAATTGTATATTTTCGTTATATTCGCTATATTACAATCTAATTGAAGCTTCAATCAAAATTGATATACAATTTATGGATATCTTGCAATTAGACTTGTTTGACAGAAAGTTTATCCTAATGGTAAATTATAAAGCAATTTTAAAGACGACAAATTCTAGTTTGGTTAAACATATTTAAAGCAGTTCTGCAAAATAGTTTTAAGCCGAACCTGCTCGAAGCCAGAATAACAAAAAGAAAGCGAAACCCAAACTGAAAAATGATTCAATGTAAAACATTAGAAAGAGTTCAAATTGTAGCGCGCATATATCGAAAATATCGATGTCTTACAATATTTCTAGTAGACTGGGCGCAAGATTAGAAATAAAAATTGTCAATTGGTTTAAAAAACAATAAATGAGTAAGAAAGATAACAACCAAAGCAAGGTCAAGGATGTGGAAACCCGAATAAAACGAACCGAGCCTAAGGATAGAGAGTTGTTTTAAACTGGGAATAATCTTTTTACCTGGGGCTTACCCTTTTTGAAAAGCTAACTGAAAGTACAGTGAAACAAAGTAGAAGAGGTCATCGTTTAAAGTCCATAGGAGGGCTCATTAATCCGTTGCCAAATACGTGCCCGTACGTGAGTTAGGCCAATTAAATTGTGTATACGCCGAGTAATCGCCAGGTGTTGGGGCTGATAAGTGGGTAAATTCTGCACAGCCATGCAGTGTGAAGTTGTGACTCCACTTGCTCGCAATCAGCGGCAATTTTATATTTTTAGCTGCAGTTGCGATTAGCAGGAGAGCTGTCGCACTTCGCACCAAACGATTAAGACCCAAATCCCAACTACATTTGTCCAGTGCTCCAGAGTGTTCCAGTGCTCAAAGCGGCGAATGAGCGTCTGCTGCTCGGCGAACTTGGGAAAGCTTGCGAAACGCGCTGGCGCGATACTGGACGCTCCCAGTTGCGAGAATCGCGTGAGCTTTGGCACGGTGTCGCTCGCGATCGGCTCGCAGCGAAAAGACTTAAATTGAAAGTCCAACCGAGACTCGGATTCAGACAGTGCCGAGTTCTGTGACCGCCCAGACAACAAATCCAGCGTAAGTGCGTCCGAGCCGAACGAACTCGAAATTCGACCAGTGTTTACCGCATTATCAATAAACTTACAAAAGACATATTATGAACACATGTGACAAAATCAAAAAAAAAAAGAAGAATAACATTAAACAAAAGCTCATGCAGATAACGACAAAGTGTTAGAGGCCAGCAACTAATCCGTACAAGGGGTATGATATGTATGATTGGCACGTAGACGGCCCACGCCCAATGCCATTTCTGGCGGGTTCTGACTGGCGGGTGCTGACTGGCCAAAATCGATGAGCCACGCAATCCGTTAGATACTTGTAGATTTGTATCTTTTGCATACGCTGCATCATAATTTTCATTAATTAATTTCTATTTTTATGCCGCGGCGGCTGCTGCTGTTGCTGCTGCTGCGTGGTGAAAGTTGTGCTCAGCGACGTCTCCTAAACGCTTCGACCTCAAAAGTTCTCAGAATCGTGCGATGCGTGCCAAAGTTCAACTGGCCAGACAATTTGGCGGCAGTCCATTTGTCAGGCCCGCCAATTAATGTAGCTTTGGGAAATTTGGCTTTGTCATGGTATCATCAAGAGCAGCCGTTCCCATCAAGTTCATTGTCATTCGTTAGTCCATTTATAATTTACGTTGTATCATAAACTATTAAGTTTTTAACTCTTACTTGCAGATTAAAATCCAAATCTAAAATGTCCCTCACCGAGGTAAGTGGCAGGAAAATACCTGTTGATTTATGATAGTGCAATATACTGTGTATTCCTTATCAATTGTGTTATTTGATAACCCGAAAGCTTATCGGCAGCCGGTCGGTTGGCTGTTAATCGGCTAATCAGCTTATTAAATAATCGTTTAATCTTGCAGCAATTCAATGCCGCCGCCGAGAAGGTGAAGTCTCTGACCAAGCGTCCCAGCGATGATGAGTTCCTCGAGCTCTATGCCCTCTTCAAGCAGGCCACCGTCGGCGACAATGAGACCAGCAAACCGGGCCTGCTGGATCTAAAGGGCAAGGCCAAGTGGGAGGCCTGGGGCAAGCAGAAGGGCAAGTCCACTGAGGCTGCACAGAAGGAGTACATCGCCTTCGTCGCGGGTCTGGTGGCCAAGTATGCCTAAGTCACAGCTGAACTCATATTCCAACCAAACTGAATTGATTTTAAACAACAACTAGAGAGACTAAAGCTATTTATATATAGTAGACAATACGGAAACAGATCTTTATAATGCCTAATAAAATTTGATTATATTTTACACACAATTGCCTCGCCCCGTGCTCAGAGTGCATTACACTCTGCTCCCGTCGAGCTGTCTATCTGGTATTACTGGTCGCACTTGGTCACCTTTAGTCATACATCGGATCGGGCTTAGCTTTCGAGTACGTGGCGCTTGCTATTTGCAAGGCAAATATACACTTATATATACTTAAAATCTGAGCTAGGTACCGGTCCCAGGTTACCCAACGAGTACGAATACGAATACGTATACGAATAATTCGAATGAGATTGCAATTCGTGTGCTGCGTTCTTTGGACGCTCGTCTGTCCATTAGCGTCCAACTGTTAATAGACTCATCGAAACGGTTTCAATGTCGAGGGCCATAAGAATTAACCACAACTGTTAGCTTGGCGAACGACCTTGAGTTTCCAGTAACGGTTAAGTGCAGCTGATCAAAGTCGAAAAGTGCAGCACATAATGGATCTGACTTATTTCCCGTTTCCTAATTACTAAATACCCAAGGCTACGATATGAATAGAGCACGAGCAGGGAAAAGCGGAAGTGGATTTTAGTAAAAATAAATATTTAACAGACAATTTCCGGATTTCATAAAATTGTTGTCAAAATACAAGCAGATAAATTAAAAGAAATATGAAAAAATAATCCAATTAAATAACCGAACTTTTATTTTGAATTGTTTTCTTTTAAAAATAACCGTCTATATAAATTTATAATTAGGTTAATAATAATTTGCTTCATTTAAATCGAGTTCCCAGTTTTCATTCGACTTTGGCAACTCTACAAAAACTCGTTTAATTCAAAAAATTTCGTTAGCAACATTTCTATTGCTGCTGGCAACACGCGTCGCTGTTGCGCCGGCTGCTCAACAGGTGAGCACAGGTGAGAGGCAGACGGCAAAATGAGAAGCAGAACAAAAAAAAAACAACAATGCGCGCTGCGCTTTTTGTTTATGAATGAAAAGCGCAAAAGTAAACCATGATAAATGTGTGTGCACGAGCAAAATCGGGCAACAACAAGTTGCCAGATCGAGATCGAGCCAGCCAAAAAGAGCGAGAGAGTGGTAGACTGTCAGAGAGAGAGAGAGAGAGTGCAAGAGAGAGCCGAACTGGCTCGTTCGGCAGCAGGCAGCAGCAGGCAGCCTTAGCTCTGGGCAACTGGCAACTGGTGCTGGCAGTTCAGTCTACGTTTTGGCCTAAACGCGTTTGCTTGGACTTGGCCAGCGCGCATGAGCCGTCGGTTAGTCTGCGCTATTTACCCTCTCTCTCTCCAATTGTGTGTGTGTGTGCGCGTGAGTGTGTGTGTGTGTTAACAAAATGTGATTAGCAAAAATACAAAAGAAGAAAAGAAGGCAACGCAATATAAAAGCATTGTGGCAAAAAGAACAGAAAGCGCAAAAATTGTGTTAAAAATAACAACAACAAAAGCGCAACAAAAACAAAACAATTTTCGCTTCATTTTAGATTTTTGTTATTTGCATAAATACATACAAAATATACATATAAAGGCCATACAAATATATTGTTAACAGCAATGCTGAATTTTTTGCTTTATCGGCAACGGCAGCAGCAACAATAAAATTCATATTGAACTACACCCAAAAGCCAACGGCAACAACAACAACAGCAACAACAACAACAATAACGGCGCAACGGCGGCTGTGCGGCTGACTTGGCCGACAGCTCACCAAAAGCAGCAGCAGCAGCAGCAACAACAACAACAACAATAACCAAAGTCGTCGTCTACCTTTTTCGTGCCTTTTCAAGTGTTTTTCATAGCTGCGCTGCAGCCCCCCCGCTCAGCAGAGCATAGAGCCAGCCGAGCGAGCGAGAGGGAGAGTTAGAGTGCGAGAGAGAGTGCGAGCGAGAGCGCGTATCTGGTTTGGCGCTGTATTCAGTCTCGGCTTCGACCAGTTTCAGCTCCCTGATATGAACCAGCTGTGTCTGCCTGGGCCCGCAATACATACATACACACACACACGCACATATATACATATATATATATCGACGACAGAGTATGCAATTTTGGTAAGTCCAACGTTTACCGTTAAAGCGATCTTCGCTTTGAGACCCCACAAAGCCGCAGCTTATCTACCTGTTCGATGGCCCCAAGGGGCGAGACGCAGCTAATTAAAAACGCGCATTTTTAATACGCCAAAGTGTTTTAGGATTTCTGTTGTGCGACTTTTTTCTACACCTCGTTTTCTTTTCGCTCCTTTTTTTTCATTTTTGTGTGCTGTGATTTTTGTTGTTGTTGTTGCTGTTGCGCTAATTCGCAGCATTTTATTTGCGGCTCTTTTCATTAATAAGTTTCACGCGCCGCTCATTTTTCAACACGTTGTCCCCACGCCCCTTAAAGCCCATAAGACCCCCCTACCTTGTACCTAACCCCCTGCTTAGCTTGTGTCTGGCTCGGATTACCGTGTTGATGTTGTATTTACTTATGTATAACCGTGTCCATACACACATACACATACATACATACATACATACATACATAAGGGTATATGTGTGAAGACACGCCAAATGAGTGGATAACATAAATTCGTTGATTTTTTTTTAATGCTAATTTCTTCTTATTTGGGTTCTCACGCTGCGGCTTAATAAATTTGCCAAGCAGTTTGTATGGACAGCTATGTGTAGGTAGGCGACATGGTTAAACTAAGTACACGACCATGGAGATGGGATTTAGGTAGAAGGGGTAAAAAAATTAAAGCTTAAAATTTATATTTCAAATGTAAATGCAATCTTAGTTAATAAAGAGCCCATATATTATTAGTTGTTGGAACACAGAGTTTTCTATAAATATCTCCAATCGATTTTTACAAAGGTCTCTGAAAATTTAGTTAGAATCGGATTGGATTTAGCCAACTATTTGCCATAATTGTTCCACATTCGCGAGTGGAACAAAAAGCTGTATATGTATAAAGATAAATAAACCCATTTAAGCTGCGACATTTTATACAGATTAATCCCAAAAGTACACATGCCTGACGAAGCTTAGAGTATGTTTGACAAAGCTGCTGAATTTACCGAATGCAACCTACATATGTATATTCGATTCTCTGGAAGAATCTATTACCTAGCTGCGACAATGACAGCCTCTGCGCCTGCGTAGGGTGGCCATAAACCAAAGCCAGACCGCAAAACAAGTTTCTGCCAGACAAAACAACAACAACAACAACATTGAGTACAACAAAAGCAGCAACAACAACAACAACAACTCGCCTAACTAAAGCTAAGACAAGAAGAAAACTTAAGCTATGACTGTGAGTCGAGTCGAGCAGCTCAATGGCAGCTCGGAAACTTGCAACTTGCAACTTGCATCTTGGCCAGCCGCACGACACTTGACGCTCCCTAAGGCCAGGTATTTGCAACAACAACTGCAACAACGGCAACAACTGCAAATAACTGTGACCAGGAATGCGCAAACAAGAACAAAACACTTGCCTTGCCTTGCCTTGCACGCAATGCGAGTACAAATCGAAATATTGGCATTGCAATTGCAATACGTATACGCACCGTGTGTCGAATGGTTTATTATGTTCGTCATCTGAGACGGCAGCGGGCGATGGGAGGCGGGGGGGAGTGGGAGCAGTTGGGCTGACGATCGTATAACCAAAGCCTTGTCACTTCGCTGCCCATTTGCCAGTTTGGGGTTACCATCTCCCTCTCTCCCTCACGCTCTCTCGCTGTTTCTTTCCCACTCTGTATATCTATCTGCAGCTCGGATCGCATCATCCATGCAAATTGAGTCATTTGCACATGGTCCAAAAATGTCAACTGGTTCTCATGCTGCTCACGCTGAACTCTGTCATTTCGGTCCAGGCAAACCGAAACTCAGAATTTGTGTCCAGCGATCTATGTGATTTGTTGTTTAGCCTCTCTCCGAGACCTCACTACAAAATCCGTTTCTACGCCTGCTACAAGCTGCCCTGTCTTTTCAGTAGGGTATTATAATTTTGTCATTAAATGTGTAAAGCATGGAAGAAGATGTCTCTGAGAGCGTTAATTATATATGTTCCCGATCATTATCGAGAGTATTCTTCCGTTTGTCTGTTGTCTTGAACCTTTGCATAGATCTGTTTCCGATTAAATGTGGCACATTTAACCACTATATGATATATATAAGATATATGATAATTACATAGACCAGATTCCGATTAAATCTTGCAGATAAGATATATATAAGATATATGATATTTAAGCCATGGAAATGATCGATCAAAAGTTAAGATATTTTAAGATTTTTTGTTCAGATTTACTCTGCTCCTTGCATGTGACTACGGTATAACATATTTCTTTAGGAGAAGGAGCAATAATTTGTTGTTTTTCGAAAGATCTTCAACAAACTCAGCAAACTAAGCTCCATCTTTCTCCTACATCAACAGTATCAAATCGGATTACTATATAATATGGCTCCTGTAGGAACAGGTAGTCGAAATTAAAGCTTTTATATAAAAGCACTTCGAATGCTGTTGTCGCCAAGAGTATTTCATCTTCGGCGTGATAACAGTTAGCCGTTCTTCTTGCTGTATTTGTATTTGTACGGGCTGACTGACTGGCTAACTGGCTGGCTGGCTGGCTGGCTGGTTGGCTGGTTGGGCTGGCTGCTTGTGTATTAACCTGCCGCACCGGTTTCGGTTTATGTTTTAGCCAACGCCATCATCATCATCATCCATTACTTATACTTATATATACGTGTATTTCTATTTCTCTTTTAATTTTCTCTCGAGCGCGCGCAAAGTTGCTGTTGTTGCTGCTGCGACTTGTTGCTGCCTCTTTATTTATTTTTTAACCAGTTTCTTTGCTGCAACCTGAGCGCGAATGAGCCATAAATAACAACAAACACACAGCAGCAATATAACAACAACAACAACAACAACAAAGTGCTGCGGCTGTCCCGGTTTCCAGGAAGCGAATGTCCGTCCCGCTTGTCGCTGTCTGCGTCTGCAATTCGCGTGCAGAGCTCTTTGGCTGTTGGCTGTTGGCTGTTGCCTGGTCGACTGGCTGGCTGACTGGCTGACTGGCCATGCCCGGGCCTCTATGGATTATGCAACTTTTGGTTTTTATTTGAAAATTTAATAATCCGCAGCGCGTTGGCGTCGCTTCCTTGATGGTCGCAGCCATAGCTCACAAGCAGATATAGAGAAAGAGACGGAGCGTGAGACAGCGTCAATCATGACGTGAAGCGCTTTTCAGCGCCCACAAAGCACAAATTCCATTGTGTGAGCCGTCTTAAGGCTTAAGTCTTAATCCCAACAGCCCAAGCAAAACCCACCCCACCTCGCACTGTGGAATTCTGCGCATCTAATCAAAATCTAATTCGCTGGCAAGCAAAGTGCATTCGCGAATCATTTGGCTTCAACTTTTTTTGTCGTTCACCTTAAACGAGTGTCGGCGGCCGTCGAGAGGTCTGTCATATCAGAGCAAACAATTGCCATGTGTTTATTTGCACCGAACACTTTGCAAAGAGTTCTCAGTTCTCGGTTCTCTCAGTTAACAGTTCCCAGTTGAGCAGCCAGTCAGGGAATCCCCGCACGAAACAGAACACAAATATTCAAAACGCAAACGCGATTTTCATTACCTTCTGCGGAATTACTGCATGTGCAAAATCTGCCGAATCAGTTGAATATACAAGCCAATACATCTACATATATATGTGTATATATATATATATATATATATATATAGTATATATGCATGGTCGGTACAGTTAGCCTTGACCAACAGCGGGAGTATAAACTTCTTGCGAGATTTCGAAGAGTTGGGAAATATATATGTACTATATACCCCATAAGTATGACGGCAAGTGTAAAGTTTTTGTTTATTTGAAGCCCACTAAAAGGTCAGTTACAATGCCCGTAAACCCCGAGCTGATAAGCGCTATTTGTGATAAGAACCTGCGGGCCGCTGCAGTTGTTTAATATCATTTATAGTTATGGAGTCTTTTTTTGCGGTAATAAATGGTTTATACTCCAATTCGTCGAGAAACCCAACCACAATATAGAAAATCCAATCAAATGGCAAAAAACAAGAAGAGAAAGGAAGGGTGAAACCAACTTTGTAATATCCGTTCCCAATTGAATGAATCTTATACGGACAGACAGAGTATGGAAGAAACCCAATATACTCTGCTTGAGTTTTGTTGGCGAGTGTTAATGGAATTTTTGGCGAGACAAGCGCTGGTCGAGTGTCTCGCATGGAGACAATGCAACAAGTATTTGGTGGCCACAGAGTAACTCTATTTATATAACACCATATAGTCAGCAGACGAAGAGCGAGACAGAGAGAGAGAGAAGTAGAGAGGGCAAGTGAATGCAAAAAGTTATTGCAGCAAATATTTAGTCAAGTGGAGAAATGCTGGGCTGCATTTGACTTGGCTGTTTAGGCGAGTTCCCTTTGCTCACCCTTTACCCGACCCATTCCCAGTGCCAGGCGATAAGATAAAAAATCGCTGCGAGCGGCGCCTGAACTCTGGCACCGAGCCAAAACACGAAGCTGGCAATGAAAATGCGCTGCCATCGAAATGCCTAAACAAATACACAGCAGAGTGAAAAGCTAATTTCCAAAAGTGCCATCCCATTGCAGGCTGCCCAAGGCAATGATTGACTAGACCCGTGGAAGACGAGGAGACGACGCTTTCGAGATGCACGAACTGTTCACAAAAGTGCTCGCCAAGCGCGATCTGTCCCGAGCCGGCGACCTGTTCTCGGTGCCCGATGCGGACATTGTCAATGACATAACGGAGGTGGTGAGTTCCCAGTAGGAATGAATCCTTTCCAATTTCTCAATCCCACATTCATTCGCAGCTGTCCGAAATCAATCCCATCATCTCGCATGCGGACTACGTGAAGAACAACAATGATCAGAGCGTGGTGGAGATCTGTGTCACACGGGTCCTCTCCTGCATACGGGAGACACGCAGCGCGGAGCGTTATTGCGCAGCTCTGGTGGATCTGTTGAAGACGTGTCTGCTGTGGAATCTACAGCCGGTGGCTGCCACCAAGGAGGAGCCGCCGCATGCCAAGATCGCCGCAGACATTGTATCTAGCATATTTTTAGTGAGTCCGCAACATGATCTATTGCCAAGTGGGAATCCTTCTCTAACTCTTTTACTGCCCTTTGTAGAACTATGATAAGAAAGAACTGATGAAAATTGCGCTGCCCATTGCCGTGCAGTTCCTGCCCAAGGGCAACAAGGAGCTGTCGCGCAATTTAGCCAGCTACCTGTCCCTGGCCGCCATCGACTATGCCTATTTGCTGATAGACTTCATGGATCCCATTATGGATTCAATACTTTCCGGCAATTATGGCCTGCTGCGCGTGCTCTCCCAGGTATACGAGGTGTCCCCCGAGACGGTGACGCCGCACGCGCCGCTGCTCATCCCACTACTGCCCCAATGCGATGCCCAGGAGCGCATGGCCGTCTTTCAGCTCTATTTGCTGATTGTGCAGAAGTCGCCGGCTGTGCTGGAGTCGTGTGTGCCGCAGCTGTGTGGCTTCCTTCAAGACAGCGACACCTCCAACATCACCATGCAAATCCTACTCAAGCTGTCGCAGCATGCACCTCACCTGCTGGTCGAGCACTTCGAGCAGCTGCGTCTGGCCGCAAAGACTAACCCCAGCACCGTAACGCTGTGCGCCCAGATACTGACCACGTCCGGCATTGGCAGCAAGGAGACGGCACAGCAAGCTCTGGACTTTGTGCTCGAGCATCTGCCCGCCCAGGCGCTGTTGCAGCAGGAGGCGACACGGCTCTGCTCCGCCTATCCCGTGCTCTTCACGGACAAGGTGCTCGCCTGTGTGCGCCAGAAGAATGCGGCGCTCAGCTCCCAGCACGATGTGGGCAATGCCGCGGGCCACAAGATCTCTGGCGGTGTCACCATTGTTAGCCTCAACAGCAGCATCAGCCCCGGCTCCAGCCCCAGCGCCAGCACCAGCACACAGATCAAGCCAGGTAAGTGCACCAAATACGCCCAAATACAATTAGATCTTCATTGTCTGCCTTGCATGTTACAGCTCCTAATGCTACGCCCGCCAGCAGCAGCTCCAACATTGTGCCGCAGCCGAGCGCGGTTAACGCCACGCTCGCCACGCCCAGTGCAGCGCCCGCGCCGGTGGCCACCTCAACGCCAGCAGCTGTGCCCGTTGCCACGGCCACGCCCACACCTCCGCATACGGGCTATACGCGACGCGTTAAGCTGGGCGACTCCCGCAGCACTGGACGCCTGCATCCCGCGAGCAATACACACAGAAGCGTCACCCGGCTCAATGTGGCCAGCGGCTCGGTTGGCGGGCTGCACAAGAGCATGACGCGTCTGAGCAACTCACAAATCAATCAACAGCCGGGCGGCAGCTCCAACAGCAACGTTGTGGTTCAGACAGGCGCCATGCCCAAGACGCCGACGTCGCCAAGTAATCCGCCTGTGACGCCGGTGCCGCCGCTGAGCAACGATGTGATCATCACTGGGCACAATAAGCACGGCATACCGGTGACCTCGGGCGGTGTCACAGTCACCACGTCGCCAACCAAGGTGCGCCCGCACTCGCAGGGACCCTCCACGCTGCTCAACTCCAGCACGGTGCTGATGAAGTACAGCACAGATGCACTGAATCAATCCGTCGGCTCCATATCCATACCGCAATCCGTGGCAGCCTCGACAGCAGCAGCAGCGGCGGCCGCGGCGGCGGCGAGTGCTGCGAACGCAGTCTCCGTGCATCATGCATCGCCAGCTCTGCCGCAATCCTCCAGCAATGGCAATGCCAAGTCCGTCATGAAGCTACCCGTAAATGGCAATGTACCTAAGACCCAAACCAGTTTCTCTCCACATATGTTTTAAAACCTTTTCTTTCCCTTGCAGAGCGAGGTGATCGTCTCGGGTCCCACAACCACCACCAATGTGGCGCCGCGACGCAGCGACAACACCAGCCGCACCCTGCTGAATGCCAACAGCGTAATGGATCAGCGCATGAGCACCTTCGAGCCATATCAGATAATGCGTGATCCCGTGCAGCAGTTCTGCGAGAAGAACTTCATCTCGATCAAGTCATATATGGACGAGGTCTCACAGCACCTGCCGCCACCGACGCGCTGCAGCATTGAGGGTAAGTCTGTCCATTAAAGTATTCTCCCTTCAACTACTTATTCTCTCTGCCGTTCTGCACTGTGCTCACCTACACGCTCTCTCAATCACTGCTCCAACTCCCACACACACATCACACAGTTTCCAATGAATTTGCAGAGCGCCGGAAGAAGGTTGCGAAGCTGCATTTCGCCTGCCAGATACGTGGACCTCATTGCCTATACTCCAAGACGTGCTTCACGATGCGCACACGCAATCCCAAGACCTGGATACACATGATATTCCTTGACTTTCAAGTGCGACACTTTGTAAGTGACAACCCGAAGTTCCTCCAATGGATCTTTCCACTAACGGACTCTCCTGTGATTCCTCTAGGTCAAGGAGAAATGTGTGCTCAGCACTCGAGAGCCGGGCATCAGCAACCTGAAGAATATCTGGCAGATACTCAAGTGCGAGAATCGCAGCTTCACCGAGCTGGTCACCAGTCAGTTTCCCCAGGTCAAGGTAGGTTATGAATATAAACGGAAATGTTTGGCTTAGCTCATTTGGTGCCTTTCCTAGGACCGTGAGATACTTGTGAATGAGCTGCGTCACTCGGGCTTTCTGGATGTGTTCGAGGTGTCCAAAACAGACAAGTCCAATCCCAATTGCAATGAGCTGGAGTATCAGTGGGGCTGCTTTCTGTGCAATCATCCGGACAAGGCGGTGGGCTTCCTCAATGGCAGCAATCAGCCCATGATCGAGGGTCAACTGAAGGAGAAGAAGGGCAAGTGGCGACTATTTAGGCGCTGGCGCACACGCTACTTTACGCTCTCGGGCGCACATCTGTCCTGCAAGGGATCCGTAAGTGTCCAAAACAAATCCCTCAAAAATACAGCCCACTAATTGCCGAGCGATTTTCAGAGCGGCGGCGAGAGCATCGATGTGAATCAAATACGCTCCGTTAAGGTTTCACGCGGCGCACGCAACATACCGAAGGCCTTTGAGATCTTCACGGCAGATCAGACCCTAATACTCAAGCCCAAGGATGGCAAAAATGCCGAGGAATGGGTGCAGTGCCTCAGCATTGTGGTCGCCCACTCGCAGGCGCGCGACAATCCCACGGTGAAGACAAACAGCCTGCCCGCACGCAGCATTGGCAGCAGCAAGCCCTCCTTTTAGCTGGCAAGGAATCCCTAGCCCTTTCCCTATCCCTATACCTATGCCAATCCCTCCTCACCCAACCTGAACCTACATTGTGAGATTATTTGTAATTGTAAAGACCACAAACACACACATAAAAGACAAACGCGGCGGCCGCAACTTATAGCTGTCTATATACATACATACATATATACCATATACGAGTACATGTTATATATATATATATATGCCCATACTTATAGACTTATATCTAGCATATAGTATCATACCATTTCAAGGGATTTTACAAAAATTGTGCGAAATTGTTTTTTCAAAATTAGTTAACTTTTTTTTACATTTAGTTTATGCTTATTTATTGTACGTGTATTATACAAACAACTTTCTATCGAAACAAAATCAAAAACAAATCGTCTTTTCATCAGTTAGCCACGCTCCAAAGTGCTGCCTTCTAACAATTTTAATAATACTTTTCAAATGCATGGCACAAAAACCGCCTGTTGCCCAAATGTATGCAACAAAAATCTGACAGCGCGCTCGAAAGTATGCAGCAGAAATTCGAACACAAATAAAATGTATCTTTTTTTTTTGTTTTTTGTTTTTTGATTTTGTTTGGAAATCCAAAATTTTTTAAAAAAAAAAACAGGCAGACGAACAACAATCAAATATTTCATTGCATACCCAAACGGAGCGGTGGAGCAGCTGAAGTACCAGTACGAATCTGCTTTATGGAACGCTTGTAGAGTAAGTAGGGTATGGTACTTTTGCCACAGAATGTGTCATGCATAAAGCTTATAGCCATGTCTAGTCTATCTGTTGCAGCTCATTTGTCGGCTGGATCGGACTAAGATATCATATTGCTGACTTAGAAAGGATTGATCAACAATTTAACTTAAATAAGTTTGTAGTAGATATCTTGGCATTTGAGAGGCTGCTTTTGCATACATGAGCAGAATCTTACAAAGATCGAATCAGTATATCATACAGCTCTGTAGGAAGTATTTCTTAAAATATCTCTGTCAAGATATCTCAATTAAGCTCAGCAACTAAGAGTTTTACTATGCTTTTCGCATACTTTCTCAACTGACTTTTTTAGGCTGTCCTCGGTTGAATAAAAAGCTTACGTTTAAAAGCTTTTCATGACCAAATATCTACAAAGGTATTTACTTTTCAACTGGCTATAAATAATAGTTCTTTTCAGTTTGATTTCGCATAATTGTAGCATAAAGAATGAAGATCTTTTGGAGAAAATTGATATTTGAATTAGTTCTAATTAGACTTTCCTATTTGATTAATGGCTTTCGAATATCAAAATAAACTGCGGCTTTAGTTGCCTCGAGCTGGACGCTAACGTTTCTAACTACGTGGAATTGAACAAGTTTTAAGTACTAATAGTTAACTAGATAATTAACAACAATTTGACACAATTCAAGGCCTGGGCGTGGGCACATCCGCTTCATTCGCATTGTGATCCCGCTCCTCGTTTAGCTCCAACAACTGCGTCCAGTTGGCATTAAGACGCACGATTTCCATGTCCCGGCGCAGCTGCTGCAGCGGCGTATGATCTCCTAGACACTGACAGTCGTCCAGGACGCGCGTCACATGCTCCAATTGGTTGGCATAGATGCGCAGACGTTCCACATTGTTGTTGTCCTGATGCGGCGCAGTGTTGACCTGGTCGGTGAATGAATGATGATGATTATATGTTGGATATCAATAGTAAGAGTAAGTCCCAATCACCGTCAGCTGACTGCCGCAAACGCTGCGCAAATAGCTGCTGACACGCGCATCCTGCAGCTGTCCGTCCGTATGCCACATCCTCAACAGATTCAGAATGCCCAGGACGTCGCCTTGTTCGGGCGCCTGGTTGGGCGTCAGCAACTGCATGGGCGGAAACTCTGTGGTGGGCGACAGTTTCTTGTAGCTGCTGCAGAGTGTGCTCAGCGTGCAGATATCCTCATTGAGGCGCTGTCAGAAACAGCAGCAGGCAAAAGCAGGACGGGAAGCAGGAACAGGTGAAGCACCAGCAACAGCAGCAGGAGCAGGATCAGGAGCAGGATCAGGGGCGTTATGGCAATTAGTTAAACGGATTTCAATTGAAACGAAAGAGTGCGTTTTTGAACTTGATTTGTGACTGTCCGTTGATGAATACGAATGAGGTGTACAAATGGTTGGCATGAGAAACAAAGTACAAGAAATTATACAGATAGATGACAAAATCTGATCAGATCGATGCAACGCATCAACTCAAATATAATATAAATTAGGCCAAGAGTTCTGTTTATTCTAAAGCAAATAATAGATGTGACTAAAAGTACGATTAAAATAAGATAAGATCGGCTGCATCGGCTGCGCGTGCTTAACATATGATTATATATCTGGCGACTAAACGATAAACGATATATAGAAATGTCTTCGAAGGGTGCGCAACACAACAACAAAAAATTAATGTCCAAGAATAATTCGTATACTAGAGAACGTGGCTAAAACCTTACGTCGATTTCGTTGCGATGACGCTGCATTTCGGCCTTGGCGCCGCTCAGATCGCTGCCCTTGATCATCAGCTCCTGGGTGGCGTCCATGAGCTCGTCCTGCAGCTTCAGATTGACATCCTCCAAGTCTTTTAGCTTCTCCAGCACATCCTCCCTATGCTGTTGCAGTTTGTTTCTGTAAGAGCATGAAAATCCAGCGTTAATCGAATATCTCGGATCCGATTGTAGTCCACTCACTTGTCCAGGATCAGCTGCTGTATGCAATTGTCGTTGTCCAGCTGCACAAGTCGCAGCACCTTCAGCAGCTTGGTTACCAGCGTATCCACCTCAATGACCTGATCGACCACCGCCTGCGCCGTGCTGTACTCCATCAACGAGGGCAACTCGGCCAACGAGTCATGACAGCTCAGCTCCTCCGTGTTGCACTGATCGCGATTGCTGCTTGGACCATATGGAAAATCAAAATCGTTAGTCATTCCTCTCCATAAGCAAGTAACTCCAAAACTATAGAGGTATTTCCGAATTCCTAATCCTAAAGCCTTTGAATGAATCGTAGCATCTCAACTGCAACATATATCCGGCTCTTTTATTTCACTATCCAACCATGGGCTCACGAATCGTAGATCTGCAACCACTTCTTGTGTTTACTTCCCTAGTAAATGATGGTTTTAAGAAAAGAATCCATACTGCAGTCATCTACACCGATTTTAGTAAGCCTTACGATTCCGTTTATCACTCCTTACTGCTTCCAAAATTATTCCTATTCGGCATAGTCAATATTCTGAACGAGATTTTAGGGTATTTGAGTAACACAAAGGGTCCTTTTCAGAATTTCATTCTCTAAATGTATCCAGGTGACTTATGGTGTCCTCCACCGTAGTCACCTTTTCCATTCCCTATCCTTGCATCCTATCCTTCCCTCGATATTCTCTCACTCTCTTGTACTAATGTATGCCGATGATGTAAAGTTGTGCCTTGCATATAAGGATATATATGGACTATGGAGTTTGACGATCCGTCCACGACAAAGATCCTTTTTATAGCTCTGATGCCTCCTATGCCTCTTGTGTCTGGTCGCCACAATACTCCAATTTACTAAAACAAAATTGAATCCGTACAGGAGTTTTTTTTGTTTGCCCTACGTGGATAAAGCTGGGATTCTCGTATGCGGTTACCGTCACACTCCAGTATACTTCCGGTGATTAATCTTCCGTTTTTAATAAAACTGGGTTTACTTGCCAATTAAACTTCACTGTCCCTACTAGGCGAACACATAATTGTACACCTTTATGACTTAAATTTTGTTTAACAACAACAAGCATTACAGAGAATGCTCTCTTCCTCGTCTAAACTCATATATTCTAAAGTATTTAGCAAGTAGATAGTCCTAGCCCCTAAAGTCTTAGTTTGCATTCGTTTTTGCACTGTGCCCCTCGCTCTGTACAGCGAGAGGTGAGCTGCAGTACATTGCATTGGGAACAGTTGCAGAAGTGAAAGGTTTTTGGATGGTAAAATGTGCAGCTTACCTGTTGGGCAGCACGCTGAGCTTGTGTACGTGTAGTTCCATCTGCTGTCGGTTGGTGATGGCCTGTGACAGCTGCTGTAGTGAATCATCGCCTTGAGCTGCAGCTGCAGCTGTGGCTGCCGGCTGTTGCTGGCTGCACTGGCTGACCAGCTCCGTGGGCAGCTCGATTTGAGAGATCATGCCCGTGCAGGAGGAGACCATGTTGTGTGAGTGCGAATCCGGCTGCACCACATCCTCGAGCACATTGTCCATCATGAGCAGGCAAGGCTGCAAGCAACAATAAATATATGTGAGCAAGTAAATTTACAGATCGATTGCAGCTTCACTTACCTCCGTTTCAGAGTCTAGCATCTCCGTGGAATCGGAATCGTCTGTGAAGCAGAATATAAGCTAGTTATTATATAGATTACATGGTTATCTGCGGCTCACCTCCATTGCCATTAATAATGGCCTGTTCGTTGCTGTTGAGCATTGTCGTGGCATGTGCTGCGCCGGCGACTGCTCCCGAGCCTGTCGCTTGGCCATGCCGTTTGCCCGCCTGCCGCAGCGAGAGGCGCTTGCCCGAGTGGGTGGTGGCCTGGCGTATGGCACCAATGACGGCGGCTATGAAGGACTGATTGCGTTGCGGCGACAGCGAACCGTCGCTGGCCAGCACCAAGGTGTGCAGCGCATCGCCAGCCAGCGCTGGACTGAGAGGCAAATCAAGGCCGTTGGGCTTGTGGCCATTTTGGGCGTGCTCCGTTTCCGCGGCCAGCGACTCCGCCTGGAAACGTGTGTCCTGCAGGCGCAACTTTAGTTGAAGTCTTGGTCAAAATAGTTATCTCAACTCACCTCCAAATCCTGCTCGGAAATGCTATAGGAGCATACCAGCTGCTCGACCAGACTGTCCAGCCGGGCATGCAGACCCGACAAGGCCGTCGAGGCGCCCGCCACAGCCGCATTCTGCTGATGTATCAGCTCCCGGGACTTGTTCTCCAACGCCGCGTACTTGGTTTGCAGCAGGCGGTTCTCCTGGCGACGCTGCTCGTTGAGGCGCACCAGATGCCGACACTCGTCGCGCAACACCTTGGCTTCCTCCTCGCGATTGCCCAGCTGCGCCTTGGCCGCCAGATACTCCGTCTCCAGCTCACGCAGCGCATCGCACTGGGCGGCCTTTTCGTGTTGGAGAAAGTCCTGCAGCTCGCTGGACTCCTGCTCAATGGCGGCCTTCTCCTGCAGCAGCAGCTGCTGCGTGGCCAGCGAGCGGCGCATCTCCTGCTGCAGTGCGCGGCACAGCTCACGCAGTTGTCCAATCTCCTGTTGGCGCTCGATCAGCTCGTGGCCGCTCATCTGGATCTGTGACTCCAGCATGAGCAGGCTGTCATGGCCGCTGCCATCGCCGCTATCCTCGGAGGTTGGCGTGCCCGCACTGGCACTAACCACGCGCGCCAGCTCCAGCATGCCCATGACACGCTCCGTATTGAGATGCAGCTCCTGCTGCATGGCCAGCTTCTCTTCGCGCTCGCGCTGCAGCTTGCCGCTGAGCTGACGCACCTCCTGGCGCAGCTGTTCCAGCTCATGATCGCGCTGATCCGGCTCCGCCTGTGTGCTCTGATCCAGCTGCTCCACGGCGTCCAAGGCACGCGTCTGCAGCAAACCGCCGCCCAGCACCTGCTCCAGATCCTCGCTGGTCAGCGCCGTTTGCACCGCCGTCTCGTGGTAGATGCGTGTCCTGGGCGTGGCCATCTGTTGCTGCTGCTGTGGTCGACGCAGCGAATTGACCTTGGCGGTGACCGTGGGCGGCGCGAGGCTGCGCCGACTCGTGGGCATCAGCATCACCGACGACGTCATCCTGGCATCCACAATGGCTGCCCGGCTGATGGAATTACTGCGCGACAGCCGACCCGCGCTCAGATCCTCCACGGACTGCTGCTTGCGACGGCGAGGCAGTGTGCCGCCTGGTGAAGCATAGGAGCATATTTTTAGTGTGTATTGGCTTAAGGTGCAACATGGCGCTTACCTGGTGCCGGGCTGCCTCGCATGCGGTTAGCCATCACATCCGGCGTCACGGACATGCCGCGACGTTGTCCGGCGGCGCCACGATTCGCCGGCCAGCGTGCGTCGTCGGAGGAGGGTGTGCCCGGCGTGCGGGCGCGACTCAGTGAGGGCGTGCGCTGCACCTGCGCCAGCCGCTGCACGGATTGGGCGCGGTTCAGCGCGCTGGGCAGGCTGTCTGGCTTCTGTGGGCGTGGTGTACGCACGGGCGTGACCGTGCTAGTCGGCACACGGAACGAGCCGGAGTTGGTCGTGCGCGGTTTCTCTCTGGCCGCCGGCGTGGCGGGCGCTCCGTTTCTGGGCAGGCTGGCGGCGCGCTTCAAATTGGCCACACGTCCGCGCAGCTGCTCCTGCGTTTTGCCCGCTGCCAGCTGCGATGGCGATTGCTGCTGCTCCGGATCCGGCTCAAACATGGCCACCTTTTTCTTGACGCTGCCATTGAAGCGCTGTCGCGGCGGCGTTCTCTGCGAGCACTCGCTGCTCTGCTCGCTGGGCGACACGTTGTTCATCAGCTGCAGTTCACAGCTGTCGTAGATCTCCTCCAGGCCATTGCTGCTGGTGTAGCCGCCGCTGGTGCTGCTCAGGCCACGCTGCAAGGTGACCCGGGACAGGCAACAGCTGCTGCTGGGCACATCCAGGCCGCTGTCGCTGCCATCGCAGTTGCTCTGCGTGGTCATTGTGCTGCTGCCGCTGGCCACCACAGTCACGGATTCGCCCTCGCCCAGATCCAGGCTGGCCAGGCACAATGCCATCTGCTGCTCGACATCGCTTGCCAGTTGCTGCTGTAGCTGTAGCTGTGGATCCTCCATCTCGAACAGCGTGCCGGACATGGCAGCTCACTACCGAGAGAGAGAGAGAGATAGAGAGAGAGGGAGAGCGCATTTAGTGCGAGTGATTCACGTCGACGCGACCCAAATTTTGTATGCTGCATGCGCGTATTTTTGGGATGCTGGCATTTCAGTTGCATATTCCCCGCTCCACCTGCTCGTTGCCCCACAACAAGTTGCACACGCCAACGACCTTTTGGCCAATGGGGAATGCCACATGCCGCATGCCTCGCACCGGTCCGGCTCGGCCCGCCCCGTCCCGCATCAATCAGAACTCGTTGCTGCCCCTCGGGCAGCCTTTTGCGGTCAAGTTGGACGCACACGCAACATGCAACATTTGTGTCCACTTCTGCCAGCTGCTCTAACGGCTCTGGACAGCTGCTGACGACGGCGCCAGGCTCTTGTGATTGACTTAAACTAGTTCACACCTGACACAACAACTGGGACACTGCATAAGTTATGAGCGAGCCCTCATCAGACCAAATCTGGCCCGACTGTGTCCCAAACTACACAGATACGCACAGCACTTGTCGCTGGCCTCAAATTCATGCCACATTTTGGGGCACCTTTTTGAATTACCGATTCACATTCACACTAGCATTCGCATTGTTGTCGCAGCGATTCGTTTCTCAGCCCATCATCATGCATCATCATCTGTTGTAGAATATTTATAAATCTGATATGAGCCATTTTCCACTTGGCCACATTTTGCTTATGATTCAGAGCTTGAACTATCTGCAGTTGACTCTACTCCAAACTTTGCCAGCTTTTAGCTGGGTAAAAGGAAATTCCAACTGAATCACCATATAAATAGCTAAGAATTTTAAATATTAACTAGATTTTTACTTTAAAAAGGGTAAAAGGGGGAATATTGGCGAAAATCCTAATTATTTTGTAAATTGATTCAAAGTTTATCTGAAAAGCTTTGCTAAACTGAATAAGAGTTTTAATGCAATACTAATCCACATGAAAATTGCATTCGTTTTAATAGAAATATTTTACTATAGGCAAGCCGTTAAAATCTTTGTATTGTTCATGTTTTTTGAGAGCATAATCTTTAAGATTTACCAAAAATAATTAACCCTAACTATTACACTCACTTACAGCTCTAAGTAAGGGCATTTAGACGTCGTCTAATGTTAGTTACCTCGAGCTACATGTTATTGGTTTGTCGGTTTCATACGCGCATCATTAGTGTCTTGTTTGTTATGCGATCTGTTGGAGATTTTGGCCAAATTTAAAGATTTCATCATCGTTCAACAGCAAAAGCGAAGACATAATGAAGTTTCTCCAATTCGAACTTAATTGGAAATTCATTTGTAGATAATTGCAAATGAACAAACATTTTTTCGGGCGTGGTTGCAAAAAATGAATGGGAGAAGAGACTAAGCTAAGTTGAAAAGCCAGTTTTTCATAGACGGATCCTGTTGAACGACCTTGGCTAGAACATGTTAAAGGCTGGTACACGCTTGAAGGAGGCCTTAAAGCTCGTTTCAGCCATGTGGCGAGGCAGTCAGGCAGCTGGAGTGGTTAGCGGTCTAATGAAGGGCACTTCAAGCGCGCTGAGCGGAGGCGACAACCCAGGCTGACGGGGCAGAGACTTTGAGTGTCGCACAAGGCGGCGACTTTGTGCCCCCAGCATGAGGCGTTGCGGAGGAAGCGAAGCAAGAAAAGCCAAGCAATTTCCATACCCATAAACCAGACAAACACACACACAAACACATAGCTGCAGCGCAATTGTTTGAGCATGAAAAAGTATCTTGTAGATACAAAGCTGGGCACAGACAGAGCGGCAACATTTTGCCATCGAACCCTTCAGTTGTCTGGGCTGCCACGACTGAAGCTGATGAAGTTGTCGCTGCGAATCGATCCCCATGGCCCTGACAATGAAAGATTGAGATATGTGAGTCGTTTTTTTTTTCTTGTTGCCGTCCGCGTCTGAAACACGTTTCGAGTCTCGGTTCTATGCCAAGGCAGCAGATTGTTTTGCATAAACCGGAACTCCGGCTGCATTGGCTGGCCAGGTTCAAGGCGAAAGTGCCACCCACAGAGGCAGGTGGCCGCTCTCTAGAGATAGAGCTGGGCCACATCGTCGTCGTCGTTTTGGCTCATTAACTCCAATCAATGGGCGCTGCGGCTGGGGTCAACTCGCAGCTCCTACGCCGCAATGCGTCTAATTCGATTAAGGCGCTTTGCAGCGCAAAAATAAAGCCAGCGACATTGCCAACTTAATTAAAGCAACAAACAGCAGCTGCCAAGTCAGCGGAAACTGACTGCGCAATACTCTGTTCGAAGCGCGATAGCAGGCAAAAGGCAGCTTGAAAAGAGCTGGCATTTTAACTGGGAAATAAGGTTTGTTGCAATTGTGAGAGGCGGGAATGTGCATGGCAGCAATACATTTGACAAGCTCTTCAATGTATCACCTTTAAGACTATAGCATATATATAAAATCATGATTTGACCGCCTTCTTATAGGCGTGGCCATACATTTTAACACATTTTCTGATACACGCAAGAGTATTTATTGAAAGTTTCAGGCCTTTGCGAACCAATATACTCTTTCCACTTTCAAAACAGGGTAGAACAACAACAACAACTGCGCTTAACATGGTTGAAAAGGCGCGTAGATGCGAATGCGAAAAAGAGTTGCAAATGCTGCGATGCGTGTGTTTTGCCCATTAATTCGCATGTCGAGCAACCTCAAGGGGAAGGGGGTGATTACAAAAGGGGGGGGGCGCGGGGTAGGCTTGAATAGCAATGACACTGCGACAGTTGACAGTCAGACAGACGCATTGCGGCAATGCGAATCGGCTTCCCAGTTCGACCAGTTCAGCGCCCAGTTAATGCAACGCAGCATAATTCATGATTCGCATAGATTGATGTGAAAAGTTATTTTGAAATGAAAGAAAGCTGACTTTAAGCTGCTGACAACTTTGATATGTATTAATATAAATAATAAATTGAGAAAAACTTTGATATTCATTAATAACAGTGATAAATAAATATTTATAATATTTATTGATAATAGTGATAAATTTCAAAAAATATCAAACCAAGTTTTTATCAAAAAACTTTAAATTTTACTCAAAATTGCCTTGGCTCAAGAATATTAAAAAGCGTTTTCTGTACAAAAATGCAAATTAATTTCCCTGTGAGCATAAAAATGGGCAGGACTAGAACTAGAGGTCAATTCACGAACAAAAAGCCAAGCTTTATGATAATCGGATGAGTTTTGACCGAGTTTTGGGAGTGGGAAATTTTGACCTATGTCTATGTAGGATATTTGAGTGGACAATTTTCACATGAATTTTGACTCAGAATAGTGTCGTCAGATTTAGATGCCACATTGATCCAAAGGCCAAACCATGTACAAAAGGCCACACCTCGTGAAAATCGGTTGAGATTTGACCGAGTTATGGGAGTGGGAAATTTTGACCTATGTCTACATAGGATATTTGAGTGGACAATTTTCACATGAATTTTAACCAAAAATAATCTTGGCAGATTTAGATGCCAAATTGATCTAGAGGCTAAATCACGGATACAAAGCTAAACCTCGTGAAAATCGGATGATATTTTAACGAGTATTGGGGATGGGAAATTTTGACCTATGTCTATATACAGATTTACATATTAAGGGAATATTTGCTCAAAAATAGATGTATTATCTAAGAGTGTATTCAGTGCCATCCCGTGAAAAGCAGTTCTCTTCCATTTTGAAGGTCTGTTGTAATTTGGTTGACGTGATTAAACTTAATCACATGGGGTAACTAAAACAGAATTTTAATTAAGCAGCGTAATTCGTTTTGTAATCATTGGCAGTGCAAGGCAACAGGAAAACAGTTGGAGAGGCTTTTCCATAAACAGTATTTTAATGGCAGATACTCAATGTCCCAAGAGCTGAATCATGTTTTTAGTACTAAAAGCCCTATTATGCTTAAAAAGCTTTCGATTCACAGTTAGAGCAATGCATAATGATAGCTCGAATGTATAATATATATATAAAATTTATATATATATATATATAAGTTATGTATGCCAAAGAATATAAATGTAACTTTTAATATCAGGACTACAATTATATATATTTCCGGTTTCGAGTCCTAGCCTAGATTATGTATCTACCATTGCCTTAACTTATTAAATGTAGTCTATACCTATAAAAATTGAAAGTTATAATAACAGAGTCCACATTTTCTTCGCTTTAAAATGTGACCAATAAGAATCTTATCAGAAAACGAGTGCACAGAGAAAATAAATATTTATCAGCCATAAAAATTAAACAGCCAAAGGCACATTTTATGATATCTCACGATATTGTCGAGCCTCAACTCGAATACTTCTACTAAAAAATTTTGTGCATATCAAAAGATATATATATAAATATATTTATGCACTCGCAATTTCATGGGTTCTCAGATCCATTGTGTGGCACAACAAATTCTGTGCCATATGTTGGGGCAACTTATGTATATGAAAGAGGGAAATACGTTCACTTGCATAAATTTCTCTCGACTCGTTCTTGTTGCTGTTGTTGTTGCGGCAGTTGCATTGAAAACAATTTATTTCCATGCCTCGCATTTATGGCAATTTATTTTGTGCCGTCTAGCGAGGGGCCAGTTTATAGCGCCCCCTCAGCCACCGCCCCAGCACCCCCCTTCCCTCCCCCCTCTACCCAGTGCACAGACCATCAGACGCAAGCAATTTGTTTGGATTTCGTTCTCTTGTTCTTCTCGTTTTTTTTTTGTTTTTTTTTTTTGGGCTTGTTGAACGCAAATGTCGCGACTATTTTAATTGATACCGAAATACGAATCCGCTGGCGATTCTCACGCTACGCGAAACAGGTGGACAGCTGTGCTATTGTGTGTGTGTGTGTGGGCAGCTGCCACGCCCCGGTTCGGGTTTATTAAACACGCCCGCTCGACTGCAGCACTTCCTGTGGGGGACGGACAAGGGACGACGAGCCACGAAACTCAAATGAAGTGAAACATTTGTGCCGAGAATTACAATCG